GCTTTGGTGATTCATCTCTGGCGGAGACAGCTTGGTATGGAAGGTGTCTGCAGACTTCAACTAAAGAGAGTTAAAAGATTGGCCTTAGTCTAGTTTGCTTTGGTGTTATGTCTTATTATAAAGGTGTAGCACGACAGCTTTATGCTGAGAGACTAGACTCCAGCAATCCCCTGAGATCAGAGAATATTGAGGCAGTTTGCAATAATTTCAAAATCAGAGAGCCGTTTAAAATACTTTTGACTGAAGAAGCTTTGTGTGTCTGTTCAGTAATTACTCAGCTGTAATGCTCCCTGCTATTTGCATGCATCACCATCAACAGGATGATATGGGCCCCATTTTTTCTTGATGGATTGATGGAAATTAATTTATCGCCATCTAGCTGATGGGCAGTAATAAGAGGTATTAAAGAATTATTAAGATGGAATATTGCTGTAGTTCACAATCCATCACTGAGCTGGATTACTGTCATTGAAGGTTAATAGATATACTAATCACAGGATGACTTTAGAGAACATAAAGGCTACAGAGAACATTAATGGTTCATGTGGATGTCAATCTTCAGGTATAACGTTCAGAAGGTCAGATTACACCTTCTATCCTAAACTTTCTAACACATTAATATTGGCATCTGTGTTCTGCCCTGATATTTAGTTGTATATTTTTGTATTGCTTTTTCTGTCCTTTTATTGTGTTTATTTATTTTTTGTTTTACTGTATGTTGCACTTCAATTATGCCTTTTTATTGAAGGTTTCATCATAGCAGTGATATTAAAATGTTACTAATAGTTTCCTCTTAGAAAGATTATCTAGATTATTTTGTGTTTTGTTGAGTTTTTTATTTCAGCACCATTACTTTTAAAGTTTTGGTTCCCATAGAAACCACTTCAGTATCCACAGAAACCAACATTTCTATGGTTAGCTGGTAATGATCTCTTTTACCTCAACCTCGGCCAGCCATAGTAGATGGCTCACATACTGAATCTGGATGTGTCAAGGGTTATTTCCTTTAAATGGTAATTGTCCCTCTCCACTTTCACCAAAAGCTTGTTTAAGGTGAAGGGTTACTCAATAGTAGAGAGACTTAATGCAGCTGTATGGTTCCCTTGATAAAACAGGTAAAGAAAAAAGAAAAAATCCCTGGATATTCCAATAGGGAGGAAATGTGTCATCTGTGTTTAACCTATCCTTTGGGCTGCCACACATTTTGTAGTTAGGAGTTTTTTGTGGTTAACAAATTTGCTTATGGACCGACAATCTGTGCTTCTAACCAGCGACCTTGCAGGGCATCAATGCAGTGCTCTCTAACCATTAGACTATCATTCCCCCATTAAACAGCTGCTAGGAAATCTGCTGATTTTTATAACATTGCACCGAGTGGGATTGTATCCAAACCAGACTGTATGATTGTAAGGTGTTGGAATAAATGATATTTTAATTAAATTGAGAACCATGCTGAATTCTATCTGCATACAAATAGTGCCTTGTCTTACAAACTGCCTTGAGATGACAATAGTTCGGAACTGATTGTTCAAACTATTTATACATTCTTTATAATGCTTTATAAATATAGTTATTATTATACAAAGAAGGAATGGTTTTGTTTGGTTTTCTTTAAACGGTTATCCAACTCCTCCTTCAGCTAGATTAGGTTTTATAAAATAGCTTTGTTATAAACTAGTAGCTAGCACCCATATTGTCATCCAATGACAGATGCCACCTGGCAAGCAAAAATTGGTTGTAAAGACATAAAAAAAGATGACATGATTTATGTCTAAACTTCGTCTACATTTGGTTGAATAGTTAAAGCTGTAATTTTCAGATTGTTGAAATACTTAGAAGACTGGGTTCGCAACTTCTTTCCAATGTCTATTGCTGGACTAAAGTGGGACCAAATCAGACCGACCAAATAAAGCCCAATTCTCAGCAACTATTTCTGGACTAAATCAAGACTATGATGGACCGAGCAGATTTACCGTAAAAACTAATGTGTAAATGACGGCTGTTTTTTTGGGAGGGCAAGAGCTGTAATATAGGTAAGACACAGTTTGTACAGTCCTTGATTAACTGTTTCTTTAACTTTTTTATGCATCAGTTAGGTTTTAATATTTCTTACAGTATCCAATTGTAAATGTACAAGGTTATTCACTTGAAATCTATTGCAGGCTACTTTATTATTCCTATCAATGAAAATGAAAGGTCTTCCAGAATAAAGTAAAGTACTCTTAAATTGATTCCATTAATACAATTTGCATTAGTTGCATAGCTTAAGCAGCTATGAATAAACCACTGCACATTTGCAACGTGAATTTCTAATGTGTATTCACCAAATCCCTCACAGAGTTTTGGCTTCTACCAGTAGCCACTTAGGTCATTTGTTAACCAGTTCTAAGTGATTGTTAAGTCACAGCTTTCTATCTAAATTCATAAATATTTAGAGGATTTTAGGTGTCTATTTTTGTCTCTCCATTTTAAATGACCTCTAATATCTTCTGAACAACCTGGCAGCAGCTTTACATTCATCATTGCAGCCAAACAAAGTGAGTCTTAACACTGGTATGTCATCTCTAATAGCACCAGCAGAAGGTTGTTCATCTGAACAACAACTGATATCTGGAGACATTCCCAGACTCAGTTGTCACTGGCCTCTGCCACTGTTACCTTTAATTGTAACTTAAAGCCAAAAAACATGGACAAAATACTTCAACTAAAACTCAAAGGCTTCAAAATATGATATTTTGTACACTAATGTAATATTCTGGCACTGTAAGTACTATCTATGTGGTAAAATCCTATTTAACTCTTCTTAGGAATGCCTGTAAGTTTCTCAAACCTTTATGAGCATTTAGAGATCACCTAATGTCTTGCCTAAGTCACATATTTATTCAAATTAACCTCTGCAGTCAAGTGGGAAAGTGTTTACACACCATGTATGTGTGCTTCCTTAATGATGACACCCTGGGACTTTTGCCACCTTGTAATGAAACAGGCACTGGGTTCACGGGGTTTAATTGGCACATAATGCGAGTAGTTTGTTCAGAGAACGGGTGCTCAGGGGGAGATGCTGGCGAGTGGAGAAATGTGAAAAAGTCATACCAAGCTTATTAAATAGGACACTCCTTAGAGTAGTGCAAATCTGAGATCAATGTGCAGAACAAAAGTGGCTGGAATCCACATTTATTAAACTGAATCATAGGGACTGTGTATAGAATCAGCTGTCTACACAAAAGACAGCAGCAAACCATTAGGAAGGACAGACAGATAAAACCTTTATGAAAACTTCTCTGTGCAAACTATCTCTGCTAGCTTTGCACAGATAACAAGGATGCACAGATAACACCCCAGATAGCAAGGATGGTAATTCAATCTTGATTTAGGGTAAGATTGGTTGTGTTTTGGTTGAGGTTTATTCCATGTTTAATCTCTGATGGAAAATCAAACCTTGAAAAAGACGAGTTGAATTGAAAAGGGCTCAACAGCAATATGTCCAGGCTGAAATGCAAACATTAGCTTCGTATTGCTTCAGTGGACGTTATCTGAAATTTCTGCATGGGGGAAAAGAGCAGGAATTCAAGCTCTCACAAGACCTACAGCTTTCAAATTTGAACCTTCTCAAGCTCACTGTTTTGCAATAGAAAGCAGAAGGTGGCTTTCCCGTACAATGTAAGAACTTGAATTAGATTGAAGAAAAGAATCTTAATCTTAAATGTAATGAATGAAGTTGACATAATTTTTGCAGTATTTACAGCTGGTAATTCTGACATTTTAAATTGAAAAAAGGTTCCTGTATTGGAAGCAAAACATCTTAAAACTTGGAAACAAAGTCCAGTGGATTGATTTTTTACGTTTGTTGGAATTAATTCAAGGAAGCTTAGTAGAACTTCCCATCAAGTCTGTGATATTTCCCTTATGATCTTTTTCCAGTATTTAACACTGCACCTCCATTCACCAGTTCATCAAAATCCAGAAGTGAGCTTGACAAAGTCTGCCTACATGTGGGAAATTGATCATCTGGTGACCTGGTGCAGCAAAAACAGTCTGGATCTCTGTCTGAAAACAATGGAGATGATAGTGGACTATAGATAGAGTGCAGCCCCACCCAACCCCCTTATTCCTGTCCGACACTCCAGTCTCCACTGTCATCATCGCTCAGGACCTCAAGAGTGAAATGAAAGTCATCTCCCTCACCAAGAAGTCACGGCAGATGATGTTGTACCTTTGGTAGCTGAAGACATTTAGTCTACCAAAGACAGTGATAATGCATTTCTACTTTGCCATCATTGAGTTCATCCTCTCCTCCTCTGCTCCACATCTGGTATGCTGCTTTCACTAAATTGAAGAAGGGCAGGCTGTAGTGTATAATTTCCTCTGCAAAAGAGTGTGATTGGTTGAAACCGTTCCTCTTTTCAGGAACTGACACTTCCAGAACCAAGATGTGAGCAGATGAAATATGTTGTTTTTTTAAGTGCATATTAACAATTTCTCAAGGCATGAACCATTTTCCTTTCCCTGCCACAAGGTCCACTTCTTTGAGTTAGACAATCTTATAAAAATCACAATATAATGAGCTGAATTATATGGTGGAAATTTCTGAGAATGTGAAAAAGGTTCAAACAGGTCCCAATACTATATAGAATTCAACAATTTGGAAATCTGGGTCAAGTTGGCCAGACTAGTGATAGGACTGTACTGAAAAGGAATATTTCCAAAATGACTAAATAAGGCTAAATAATTCTAATTTAGCCTCTCAGAACTCTATGATGGGATGGATGTGAAGAATTATTTGTAAAACATGTGAGTTGTAAAAATAAAAGGACTTTTTCTTAATACTTATTTTTAAAATCAGCAGTCATAGAGAAACCACAAATCCGTTGACCTTGTGCGGAATTCATTTGTTCAAGTCCCTCAACCCCACCCCTCCAACACTCCCTCTCATACACCGGCAGATTAAACCCACGTGGGTGTGCTTAATCTGACCGACTGTTTACTGAATTTCTATCATGAAAAGTCGTCTCTGATGCTGCCCTGTTGTATCAGTCATCTCCCACACTCCCAAAGGAAGAACAAGAAACCAGACGCAGCATTTAAAACTGCTCCACGTGTGTCAGGGACCAGATTTTGGTGGATATAAAAGTGAATTTTTCTCTCCCTTTTTGTTTCATCCTCTGCAATAAGAGGGAGTGACCGTACTGGACAGCAAGGAATGTTATGACTTCTTTCCTGCGCTTTCTTTTAACTGTGCATGGGAGCTCTTGCAACTTTTTAAAAATGACATTCAACTTTTCCATCCGGTCATTGTTTCCAGTTGTGGCAGTTTTTACAGCAATTAAAGGTGAGACGTTAGTGAAATTAAACAAAATCCTATGTTGTTTTTACTTGTTTTAGGAGATCTACTTATCCTAACGCTAACCTATGATGAAAAGCTCCACTTATTGAAAAAAAAAACATAGGGTGTCTTTAAAACAATTGTAAATGTAAAGAAATATTATTACAATTATCTGTTTTCTAAATGGTAGCAATTAAAGACAAGGAGCAGATGTGAGTTTTCATGTAGACTTTCTTTTATCATTCAAAAGATTTTTGCATAAGATCTTAGATTTGTATTAATTTTAATGATTTATGCAACTACCAGGTTATAAATTCCTTATCGTATCTTGTTTGTGGTTAGAAACCTGTGGCCTCATCCCATTTTATTATCCCTCTGCCAAAAAAAAAAGTGACAGCAGGCTCTCCAGCGTCTGTCGTAAGGCTTCATCTGTGGGATTAAAGGGGCCTGGAGCTGAGGTTACACAGCTGTTTCATTGCTTGTTTAAAGATAACCTGCTATGAGCGTGCAATGAGCTGGGAGACTCCATGTAGTGATGCTGTTATGTCATGTAAAAAAACTAATATCTGAGACTTATAATGCATGATATGTGCACACACTTTTAGACATGTATTTTTACTACATGTGGTCTAAACTGTTTTCTTAGTTTTTGACAAAGTAACACAGTTCAGCCCTATATATCCCCTTAAATTCAATAACTACATCCCAACTACTGTGAGGCTCACTAGTTATTAGATCAATACATTGTGCATCTATTGATCCGCAGCATTGTTTGTCAGGATGATCAGCATTTAAAGTTACAAATAAAAGGATAAACAAATCCTAACAATCAGAATATTCTTTGTTGGCTTCATTCTGTAATCTAGAGTTGAAAATGCTGTAAGCATGTAATAAGTTATGAGTTTATTTATTTAAGCAGCTGGGTTTACAAACCAATAAACTGAAACACAAATCTCATGCTTTTTGGGGTGGAATAATGAGGGACCAGACGGTATTTTAACTAAAGTAGACAGCACAAACATCTGGCAGCAAGGAATATTCCTCAAATGCCTAAAAACATAGTTTAAACTTTTCCACTGAAAAAAAAAAAAAAAATAAATAAATAAAATTCTGACGTTACCTTTCCTTTTACTGTTCATCGCTGTAAGTTAATAAGTGCACACATATTGACATATGTTTGGAATTTTTTTTTACCATTAGAGAGAATACTTTTCACTTTATATGCACCTCCTTGAAACCATGATTAAAATCCAGGAAAGGAGATAAAAACATCTTTGCGATAAAGAAGGTTTGTGTAATGTTTGATTCAACTATTTGCCCCCTTTGCGTGAAGGATGGCAGATGTTGAATCGATAGCAGCATTAAAAGAGACACAAACAGCACTCACACACACAAAAAATGTGGCTTTTCCGCACTCTAAATAGGTTTGCTTTTCTTTAACACGATTAAGGGTCACAGGAACAGAAAAATTCAGCTTTCAGTTTATAAATCAGTGTAGCCTTAATTCTAGTATAGAACATTAATCAAGACTTTGCATGTGATCATTATTAAGATATTTCAATTGTACAAGAGTGAAGTTTAGGATGCATAAATTAATTTAGAACCCCTGCATTGTTTATTTTTTTGTCAATGCTGTAAAATTCTGTTATTTGTGTCTTGGTGGGGATGTAAATCTCCTTTTCTAGCTTTTGAAAAAAAGATGTCAAAACTGATTTGTTTGTAATAATACCCTCCAGATATTACAACTAAAAACAGCTTGCCGTTTTTTCCAGCTGCATTTTGGATACTCCAATTGAAATATAGTTATTTAGATTGTTTCAAATGCCAGGGCTCTGTTCATCCCCAAACCTTCTTAGCCCGTTTAAAACTAATAACTGTAAAAAAAGAAAATTGAGCTTGGATCTTGGATCATTCAATATATTAAATTCAATAACTTCTGTAGAAAACTATGGAGACATTTTAGGGGGGGAACTTTGCACTTTGACTGCTGTTGAGACTGACATGTGTATTTCCTGTTCCTTATCCCAATCTTAGTTTAGATGAACTCAGACTCTAATAAGAAAAGCTAAAACAGGGTTACACTGTGTGATATGTTTGAGTCCTATACAAAGTACTGTGTCTGTTGGGGTTTTAAAGTGTTGCTTTTTTGACCCTGAACTTTTCTGAATAGATTCGATAACAAGAAACAGTTGAACTTTTGTTCACAGACTGTAAATGCCTTTATTTCTAAATAATCTTCTTTCATTTCAGCTGGAAGAAGCCAGAGATTTGAAGATGTTGGAGTATTTCCTGCTCCTTTACCTATTTATCCATCCATCAATTTTCAAATCTTCAATGCAGACCATGTGTTTCTTGCACAAAGTAGTCAAGGAACATCAACTAACTCAAGCCTCAAAGTTCAGGCTAAGACATTTCTTATTACCAATCCAGGAGCCCTGATCCTCCAGCCAGCTATCAAGGCTTCGTATGGCCCCCTAGCTGTTGATGCCACTATTCCATCAGACCTGCTTCTTAGTGGACGCAAAATTCTTGCAGTGATTTTAGTCCGTCAGATTCGATCTCCTTCCCCGTTCATCAAGATTCTTTTCCACATGCCCACAGAAAGCAATTTAACTTCCAAGCAAGATAAAATGGACTCCAACAGAAATAATGAGGCTAAGCTCAATGATGAAGCTCACTGCGTGACAGCTTATGCCTTCTGGGAGATGAAGGAAGTCAGAGGATCATGCCTAATTTCTCCTGGTGGATTCTGTGTGGCTCAGCTCAAGCCAGAACCATCTTGGTTTGGCTCTGGAGGCAGATCTGGAAGCTCAAGCCCGGAAGCAGATAAAGCGGAAGGAATCAGAAACCTTCGAGGAAATCTTGTGGAGGTCTACTTTCAGAGCAGGAGGGACCAGACGGGGCAATGTGCTCCACAAGACAGTCTGCAAAGAGTAGGAGTAGGAAGAGGGAGAGAGTCTTGGGGTTCGGGGACCCCTTTGCAGAGGATTGGAAGTGTCACTCTTATCAAATCTCAAACAGGCAACCCGACTTTCCTTCGGCTTAGGCTGGGAGGTTCTTTGATGATTCAAACTTCCTCCAAGCCCTTAAAAAACGATGATGTGGGAACTTTTTACATATTCCTGTCTAGTACATCTACGATGGAAAATTTCACTTTGAGGTAAGAAATCTTCTTTGGTTTTCATTGTTGCAAGCCTTTCATCAAATCAAAGATGTATTTGCCAAACTGGGCACTTATGGCATCAGGCAGGGGTCTTCAACATTTTCCAGGCCAAGGACCCCCAAACTGATGGCGGGATGGAGCGGGGACCCCTTAATTATATATATTGTATGAAATTGTGTTATATAAAAATGGTCCTATAGTCACTCTATTACAGATGGAGTCATGTAACGTAAGTAATTTCTCCCTGCGATTATTAAAGTATTTTCTGATTCCTGGTTGATGGGACAAGTGTTGTGCATGAAATGGTGCCCAGCTTGAAAGAGCTCCTGTGTGTCGCTGAATATGTGCATTGATGACTGAAAGACATCTTCTACCTCCATTTATCTATTTACTACAGTGTGTTGAAATTATGTTAATTTGGATTTAAAGACATTTCAACTTGTGGGAAAAACGTCAGGGGGGAATATTAAAAAAAAGTCTAATCAACCAAAACTTTTGGGACCCCATGCAGCACCTCCGTGTACCCCCTAGGTGTTACAGACCCCCTGTTGAAGACCTCCGGCATATGGTATAGGAAAACATTTGAAGAGAGTGGTAATCATTCCTACAGAGATTCAAAGCCAGAATGTCAAATTTAGGCGAGACACCTAAAGTCACCCTTTTTTTGGCAATTTTATTTTTTTATTTATTTATATTTTTTTCAGCTTTTTTATTGTCATTACGATGTCACAAGTACAGAGCAACGAAATTAACTCTCTGCATTTAACAGTGGGCTGCCACTGTGCGGCGCCCACATGAACTTCTTCAGTAACTCTCCTCCTAAAACAAAGCTGGTTATTAAAGAGCTTGTTTGTTTCCAGCTTATGGGCACATTTGAATGAAAGTTGCCTGATGGTGTCCTAGAATGGTTGAAGTTGTATGAGTCTGAAATCTCTAATAAAAGGTTTTATCGATTGATCTGTGATATGTGCTGTTATAAAGCGACCAAGCTGATTAAGAGGTGCTTGAGGTAAATTATGTTTTTGTTTCCTTTAACAAGACTCCATTATTATTCTTAAATTAATTCTAAGATGTCACTTTAAGAACTTAGTTTAAAGACCACCACTTGACAGTTTGCTTTCGAAAACAAGATGGCACGGGGATAATAAGATACATTTGTGGAACTTCTGGACTTTTTAGGCGTTAGTCTTTTGGAGTTAAACTAGATGATTTGTGTAAATTCCAAGCTTTACTTAAAAATGCATGATACAGTAAGTCGATTAAAAAAAAATCACTGTATTCTTTCCACACTTCCAGGGTGCTTTTTTTTTTTGCAATGAAGCCAAACTTTCCAGCTCAGTATTCCAAAGTTATGAGGAGTGGCTTCTTCTTTAAAAGACTGGCAGTTGCCATCTGCGTCTGACACAGTTTTCACATACAGTAAGGACTATTTCTCCTTTGAATATGGGTCACAAAACTCTAAAACCAGCATCGGGAATTAAGGGAAATTTGATTTAGTTTAACTTACAGAATAGACAATGAATATTGTTCACGGAAAATCATGGCTCATTCAACTTCTTTCTCAAACTTTTGAACACCCATTTCTGTTCAAACTGACATCATAAGTGTGACAGCAATTTTAAATATGATCAATCTAAAGTTGTTTGTTTTTTCACAGTGCGGAGTAGCACATCAGACAAGTCCTAATAGACTGGTGCTGAATGTATTTCTGAACAGATGTTCAGACTGTTCTCTGTGCCACTTAATGTAAACATGGAAGTTATATTTTACCTTTTTGTTAAATGAATCTTCAAAGTTAAACAGATATTAGACCTCTGTTCCTGTTATTTGAAAATTGCAAGTAATGTTATGGTATTTCTGTATCAAAATTGTAATAGAATGTCCCTTATTATGAAAAAGTTTTAATTCTGTCATTCCAGCTGTAAGATCAAGTCCAGGGCTCTTGAAGTGAAGTTGTTATGTAGTGCTTAACAATCAAATTTAATGTGCAGTTTCCAGCTTTCAGTGTCACTTACAGGAGATCATTAAATGGGACATTTATTTACTTTTCATTTAAAGCTACATAAAGCGCACAGTTGAGTTGAGAGCTTTGATGAGGCTAAATATGGAAAGATCTGGCCTTTCTTTCTAACAAGTGGTAAATATCATTCATCGAAATCAGTTTAATCACTGTTCTGTAAATCCAGTCTTACAGAGACAAGAGCTTAGGGGGAATTACACGGGGGGAAAAAATGATTGTTTATGAAATACATAACATATAAGAGACAAAGCAAGTGTAAGTGGGATCTATACTACATATAAGCATATTCAGGAGAAATAAGCTCCATGCATTTAAACGATTACTTAAGGCACTTAAATACTGATGAGGCCCTACCGTCAAGGCCATGTGCTAATATGCATGAACGGCAGAGTGACTTGCGTTGACTGCCAGTTACTGGCTGCATAAATTGTCAGACATATCCTTGCTTCTGAAGCATCACACTTAGTGGGGGAGTTATGAAGACCACTCTTCCATAAACAGGGAAATAATTGGCAAATGATTCACTGGTTTTCTTATCTCAACATCCCACAAACTTTTCAACAATGTTTTTTGGTAATTTGACTTCATAAATAATGCATCTGTTTAATGGAGCAGCACACAAATAACTAATCTCCTTAAATCCTCTGGGTTGAACTGAGCTTAATATAAAAGCAACACTGTCACCAAGGAAAAGCACACAGTTCAATTTGTTCTAAACTTTTTCTTTGCTGTTTCTAAGATTTACATCACCTGACTGTGTAGACTTAAAAGCTGTTTATTAAAATATCACACATATATGTGTGTATATATATATATATATATATATATATATATATATATATATATATATATATATATATATATATATATATATATATATATATATATATATATATAAGCTTCTATGATTTGGATTTATTTCAAAGTTTAGGATTGTTGCAAACATTATACATTATAAACAAAACGCCATTTGTAAAGATTAACAACTGCACTAATTGGCTTCAACAAAATATGCACTCAGTCAATAAAATAATCTAAATAAAATTTTCCCTAACACATTGCTATCACATTATAAGAAAATGAATTTTAGCGTTCTAACATAATCTGTTCAAGCTGTACATTTGTAAGTTGATCAGTTGAAGTCTTATCCCCATTTAGCTGTCACAATTATCATTTTAATGTCAAAAACTCACACGGAAAGAAAAAGATAATCAGAAGAATTTTATTAATACTATTATTTGGTGCTCAGACCTCAGCAGGAAACATTAGCGCTGAATTTTACTTTAATATGCACAAGCAGGTGTATGAGAACAGGCATGTTTCAATCTCAGGCCTGAAACTGGTGGTGGAGTGGAGATATATGAAGTCTGTTCAGTCCAAAGACTGCTGGCTGGCGAGACGATCTGCTTAGACTGAATTGGTGAGATTCGGTAGACTGTGTGAGCTGATACTAGAGCTTCACTCGGGACCCTGAAGCTAGATGTCCAGCTTGGATGAACACAGGTTTGCAGGAACCGGTTCATGATGAGCAAGCATGAAGCGACAGTGGAGAGGAAAAACTCCCCTTTAGGAAGAAACCTCTGGCAGAACCAGGCTCAATATGGCGGTCTTATGCTGGACGGGTTGAGATGTGACGGGGAACGCAGCAAGAGTCCGGTAGGACTTCCACTATAATAGGGACAAGGTTGAAGAAGCACCATAGAAAAGCCAGATGGAACTTACTGTAGCTACAATGGTGGAGTGGGGGATGGAGGGGGGTTGAATCTCGATCATCTGAGTCTAAATCAGACCTAGCGCAACCTTAACTTTGGGGTAGGTTCTTACAAGTTCTTAGACTTCTACCTACTCCTTTTGAACACTACTAAAATGTCTTAACATCTCAATGTAAATCTTGCTTGTATTGTTGCTCAAAGAAGTTTAAACTAAAAAAAAAACCTCTGCTTGCCCTCGGCTGGGCAGCAGACTGAGTCCTGGACCTGGAGACCTTTTAAGATGAACTCTGGATGCTGATTGGGCTTCGTGAAGCTGTGGTACAAAGCTGATTGGTTTGTGTCAGAGGCAGATGAGCCTCTGATGATGAGGGCAAGTAATTTATTTTCTTCAGTTAAACTTCCCCCTAAGCTTAATTTACCAATACAATTACATAGCAGAATTTGATGAGAAAATGATTTATATTTATTGATGATATTAGTTTAGACAGATTTGACATTTTTTTAAATGGATGAAATAAAAATATGAGTAAAGGAAATAGCACTCTATGAAGCTAAGTGTATTCACTCTTTTGGGACATTGTGACAACTTTCTATGAAACCTTTTTAAATATCGAGAGGCACCATACTGTAGGGGCAGAATGCTGACATTTTACAATCCAGTCTGGAAGTGAACACTGAACATGGTTAATTAAAAAAAAAAAATAATCTATAGTGCTTTTTCTTTGATTCGATTACTTTAAAGTTTAAAGGCCATTAAAGTTTATATATATTCTTTAATTTCATTTTTTGTAACATAAATTACCTCTAACAGCTGTTAGTAGAGGTATTTAAAAACTGTTCTTTGTTTACTTGATTTGGAGACTTCTGGGTTGCACTTATGGGATTGTAAAAATGGCAGCGCCAACCTCAGCAATACTGTCAATACAGCCAAATCTCGAGAAAAGTAGCTTTTAGCAACTCGCCACAGTCCCTATTTCTCCAACCATACATGTTCTAAACAAGGCCACTGAAAACTGTCACTAAATTTCCTTTGGTTTGCAATCTTCACTTACTTTCCAGGTACCATCAGAGATTTTTTACAGTTAAAGTAAGATGGGCACTTTTCAAGACCTGTTCTAAAAATAGAAAAAGAAACAAACAAGAAAAAAAAAAAAAAATAGAGGATTAGTGATGTTTTATTTTTTTTTTTAGAAGGAATAACAATGCCAAGTCTTCAACTTTACCTTAGATTTTATTTTCTTTGACTTAACCTTTTCTTAATGCAATTTTCAAAGTGCGCTCAAAAATGTTGTTTGTACGAGAAACCTATTTTGAATAGAAATTAAAATGAACACAAAAAACGGGGGGGGGGGGGGTACTATCTCTTGGGGGCTCCCTCATAGTACCAGAGCTAGACTTTTATTTTTGTGGGACCAGAGGGGGCCCCAGGTCATCTCAGGGGAGTCTACAGGCTATAGAGACATGCCAAAACCAACCAAGAATAAATTTGTTTCTCAAGCAATAATTTGCACTAGGGGGTTCTGAACTGCAGATATATTTAAATACCTGAAGGAGATTTGTGTATAAAAACAACACGAAAATTAAACATAATCTAAATCAAATTACAAGGATTGGATGATAAACTTTAATGAGTCTGCTAGAGGTACACTAATAAAAAAAGAATCATAGGCCCATGTTATCTGCTGCACTTGATTGTTGTTGTATCCATATTTTAACTGCTCTGCTTTGTTGACATGTCTCTTTTGATAATGCAAACAATGGATATGAATGAATATAATATATATTTGTATTAGAGACTTTCCATTACGTAAAGGTGCCAAAAGTGGAAAAATAATATGTTGCATTCATTGGCATTAAATACATGTACTTGAACAATCTGCCTAAAAGTCTGCTGTTTGCACTTTTCCAGTAAGTTTGCAGTAATCACTATGCATGGATTTATTCTCAGAGCACATTTCTTTTAGCATTAATACATTTGCGCAAGTCCTTATGGTACTGTAGTTATTGCTTCCTGCCACATTATGTTGGGAACACTGTGAACAATGTTCTACTTTACTCTGTTATTGTAGAATTATAACAGTGCTACTTTTTTATGCATTTATTATGTGGTCCTAAACTTAATTTTAGGGCTTTTAAAAAAAATACATCTTAACAATTTTGTCACTTTTTCATCACAGAATCAAATCCAGCTTGCAGGGCTTTCTCTAAACAAAACTGTGAGAAAAATATTGTGTGAAGAACGCACTGAGCTATATGTGATTGATTAAAATAAACAAAGCATCAAATAAAAAAACGAAACAAATATATGTTTATTTGAAAACACGTCACTTGTCCATGCAGAAAATGTTCCTCCTAGCTACATTCAACGTTATTATATGGTGAGGTTATTTTTTTGTAAATTCTTTACCATTTTATTATTATTTCAACTTAATAGATGATCACTTTTTCAGTTTACATTGAGAAGTAATAGTGTTAAACGCATTCCTATTTAGACCTTTTACTTATAAATCAGTTTGGTAATATTCCCATTCAGATTCCCTAAACGTCCACATTTTTTCTATTTATTTGTTTTACCAAATTATAGTGTTTATGTTTGTGTTCTCTTGTTGTTATAATGTTACACTCCAAAGTTTTTAGAGGAAGCCTGTAGAGCATGCGTTTGGTTTGCTGTCTCTACTCTCCCTAATTGTTTTGTCTGAAAAGCAAAGTAATTTCCTCTGTAATCCTACAGTTTAGTGATATCATGCTTCAGTCTGGGTACAACACAGTAATCTCCTAAATGATTCAGCCAAATGGGTAATAATGCAGAATTCCCATGCTTAAACCTATGACAAAAAAAAAAAGCTTTTCTAAAGTCTTTCTTAAATATTCTGTTCCTCTGGCAAAAACAAACATTAATGGCACACATGTAGGCTGAGTGACCTGAATGCAGCTCTGTCAGTCTTCTTGAAAATAATTGAATGAGAATCTGTCGGTAGATGCTGAGGATTCAACATCTGCTGCTGCATTGACTATTTGAAAGGATTTGTGGTCTCTTCACCTGAAATCTCCAAATTTGTATTTACTAACCGAAACGCTGGAAATCGTCCAGTTGGGTCAGTAATTTCAGTCTGTGTGTTTCTGGCGTGCGGCCACATGCAGCATGCAGCGGGACAAGACAAGACTGCTGAGCTCTAAGTCCGAGTGAAGGCTCGCTCTGAGAAGCTTGGCAGAATGATTGATTCCTCCAGCGAGAAATCCCTGCTTTACTTCACTCTTTGGGCCAAGATTGAGTCCACTCCAGCATGGTTAGGCCAGATAATCTGTGGCCCTGATTGAAAAGCAAGGAAGAGGTTAACCCTTTAGAGTAAAGATGATCTGGGCTGCCTGCAAGGATTAACTGTGTACATCAGTGAGTTAGACACACACACCATTTCTAACCATCAGATTTACAATAGAACCAGGAGAAAAAAAAAACAACAACATACATTTCCTGGCTATTGGCAGCACGTGTACAAAAAAAAAAAAAAAAAAAAAAAAAAACAGCTGTAGGTGTAGGATTTGAAACAGAAAACTGTGAATAGATCTTAGTAAAAAAGAGGGAGGAGTTAAATAGACGGGGTGCTTTCTTGTTTCCAACCTGTGTTAAGAAAGTCCCAGTAGAAGCTGACACTGATAAAGATTGAGAAGCAAAGGCAAGATTTCCCTGCAGGGAAGCTTCTGTGTGAGTTTCGAACAAGATTCCCTGTAATCCAGGATGATCCTCGTACTGATTTGCTTTGTCCCTTCTTTTGGTACGAGTCTTTAAACTGTTTTGCTCAACTGGATTCATGGTTATCAGGTGGTACTGGCACTATATAGTTTCACTTTAAACAGCTAAAAGAAAATAATGATCATGAATATACTCATAATCTTTTTTTAAGAAAATGTTATCTAAAAATTTGTGGCTTAAATGATTTATCATAGTTTTTCTCTTAAATCCTGATAATTTTTCATACATGACAAACCCATATACACTCCATAATTGCCTCAGTGGGGCTGAAAGAAACAACTGTAAAGTATCCTATGTCTCTGGTTGTTATGCAGACTTGGTGTCTTTATTTTTCTGCAGGCATCCACAACTGAGATTTGATCCTTTTTTTTTTTACACTTCTCAAATGCCGTGTATTCTTTATCCTGTTTTGAAGAGCAACAACAGAATATGGGCCTTGTCCTACTGCATTTATAAAAATATATACCACTAATTTGAAATTTTGATGGATTTATAACTAAATATGAACATTAAGGTTACCTTTAGTTGTCATAATTTTTATATTTTAGTTTATACGGTGCTGAATAGATAGATGGCCCCAAATTAAAGGCTTAAGTTTTTATGCATCCAAAAAAATAAAATTCATGAGTATAAAGCGAATAAATATTTGAATTTATTAGGAGTTTCAAAACCATGTCCTCAATTCTTAGTGGTGATCTCCTGTTATTGTTTTTATGGTTTTCACATGCATCTTATCAGCTTTGTATATGGGCTTAAATTTGAGTGTGCAGTCATTTCACTTTCTCCCTGCTTTGTGATCAGTTTTACCCATTGTTTAGTAATATTTATGTCTCAAACATCTGTCATTCTGTTTTGCATTTTGGCCATTCAGTTATAGCTACACATGATTTTCTATTTTTACTCATGTAAACAATGTTGCTGTGCAGCTACATGAGTTAGGTGACAATCCTAAGACAGAGAGAAAGAGTCAGACAGACAGAAGAGTTTCTCTGACCAGAAAACTGTCCTGATTTGCTCAGAGGAAAAATATTTGTAACACTTGTATAACTTTTTAATTGACTTGCAAGCAAGAAGAATTGTCGTGAGATCTCTCAAAAATACATCTTGCCAGTAGCCAGCAGAAACAGAAATGTTTCGGACCAATGTGATGTAGTGATGTGTATCAGGTCAATGCTTCAACCAGAGGCGGAAGGTCGAATACAGTAAAAACAAACGTGGCTGCACCGGTTTAGCTGGAATACCAGCGGAAGTGGGGTAGCTGCAGTACACCCTAGTGGCGACAGGGAGATTTCTAAAAAATGTATTACTAATATTTTGCACAACTTATACATTTGTGCATAGTATTTTGCCTTTCTTTTTTTTTTACTTTTACTTGTACTGTATTTCGATTTAACTTTAATTATTTTGAGGCCTAATCAACACAAGTTGACAGAAGTTACATTGTCATGGCAACGTCAATTAAGCTAGTGGTCGCAGAGAAAAGAGTTATACTTTATATGGTCTAATGACAGAAACGCATTTCCGGATTTTTTGCAAAAACCACCACCATTGAAGAAGAACACCAGTACCGCAACAATGACAACAGAGAGCAGCTGGAGTGAGGAGACTCTGCCAGCCAACAGAGTCACATCTGACATAAACACAGTGACTCAGGTTCATGCCAGCTGACCAAATCTACATTGTTATAGTGTTTTCATGAAATTTAATTAATAGCGCATATATTCACCTGAGAACTGATGATGTCTGTCTGATACAGACCCTGGTTACCTGCAGTGAAGTGTATATGACAATAAAGTCGGGAAATAGGCCTATAGGCTCATAGGGCTGTTGTTAAAAAAAATACCAAAAAATAGTTTCACAGCACCCCCTGTTCAAAATTACTTTCAGTGGCTCTGTTTGTATCAAATTAGAAAATAACTACAGCAAACTTCCCAAGATGCTCATTGACAATCATCTTTCACTGCCTCGCCGAGTAATAAACCGCATTGCAGTCTTTGCTGTGACTGGGGTTTCCTGTAGGTTCCATTAAATTTATTCAATTTTTTTTTATCTGTTCTCTTTTGAGAGCATAATGTAAAAGTTGGTCATAAGGGGGCAATGGCACAGCTCTGTAACTATGTCTGCAGCTTGGCTTTCTTTACATTTAGAAACAAAGTTTTTAAATATATATACATTTTTACTTTTTTCATAATGTAACCCAGTCAAATTCATTGTTTGCATTGTGTCAAAAAAAACTGCACTGCTCAAATTGCTGTGTCTGTCTGATATTGTCCCTAATAAGTTATTCTAGTTGTCTCACACATTACCACTTAGATGTACACCTTTGAAAAATTGTATAAGGTTTCATAACAGACGAATCTACCACTGATTCTGTACATTGCTCAGGTAATGTGTCACTTGTGATCAACCCATTGGTCTTATTAGAGTTTGATAATAATGAATTTTAATGTTTTTACACAGGGCTTCTGTAAAATCAGGCATGTCCTTCAGTGCGGCTCGGCCTAGTGATCCTCTACAGTGGGACGTTGTTGTGGAGCCTGGGAGAGGAGCAACTCCAAACACTGTTACAGTCATCTGCCGTAGGAAGGCTTCCATTGCCTTGAAAAGGTCAGTTGAAAGTAGAGCTGGGTAACTAATTGCTTTTGCAATGTAACCACAACGTGTGGCTGCATGTTGGTGCAGTGGGTAGCACTGTTGCAGTGGGTAGCACCATTGTCTTGCACCAAAAAGGTTCTGGCCTGGGGCTTTTTGCATGGAGTTTTTTGCATGTTCTCCTTGTGCATGCATGGGTTCTCTCTGGGTACCCCAGCTTCCTACCACAGTCCAAAAACATGACTTTTAGGTCAATTGGCTTCATTAAAAAATTTACTTAGGTGTAAATTTGTGTGTGCATGACTGTGTGTCTTTGTGTGTCTCTATGTTGCCCTGTGACAGAGTGGCAACCTTTTCAGGGTGTACCCCGCCTCTCGCCCTTAGGGCCGGATTTATCAAGATCCAATTTTGCGTGCAGTAATTTGCGCTCGCAAACTGGAATTTTGCGCGAGGGGCTGAACCATGGTTTGCGGGTGATTTAACAAGAGCGATTGCGTAACTGGTGGCAGGTGCAAAACTGTTGGAGACGCCCTATTTAAATGATGGTTTTGCGCGTTTTGTGGTTTGTGGCAAAGTAGTATCTATAAAACTTTGGCAACCTTTATTCCCTAAGGTGGTATGTATTGGCCTGTAGAAAAATGCACATACCAAATGGCTCACAAGAAGTGACTGTGGATGAGATTACTGCGCGTACGCATCCCCGCAGTATTGGCATGTTGTTCCACAGGCGCAGGGGGGAGGTTGGGGTTCTCCGTTAGGGCGTCAGGGCGACATGGCATTTAGGACGGCGGACAGCACTTCTGAAAAACGGTTTGGGAGATCCCAGCTCTCGCTGCAACCGTACGCTGGAATGACCCAGATGCAAAAAAGTGCAATGTTGCAAGGAGTTTTGTGATATGTGGTATTGCGTGGGTCCTCCTTGTGGCTGGCTCCAAATCCATTCGGAGTTCCCCCAACAGTTCCAAAATGACAATGCTGGATAAACGATATGTTTTGATGATCGTTTCCTCGTTCATTCCAAAATTATTCACACGGAGTGAAAAAATGCGTTCTCTGCGTCTCCTTGCTTCATTTCGATGCCTCCTTCTTGCGACAATAACCGCTGCCATGTGTGCGCAATTACGCATACAGACCCTTTGCACCTTCTTTTGAAACATGTTAAATATAGAGTCAGGTACCGTTAGCAAAATTGCTTTCAGGTTTGATAAATCGCTTTGCGAGTGCTAAATTAATATATTTACATGTTCTCCTCCCACAAGACGCACTTTTGCGTGTAAACGCCCCATATTGCATATTCATTGCAGAAAAACTACTAAATGGATAAGAGGCTCTATTTAGCACGTTTTAAAGACCAAATCCTTTTAGCACGCTGTTGATAGATCAGTTTGTACATTTTTTAGCGTTACAGTTGACACAGTTAAATAGCTCGCGTTTTATACACGCAAACCTTTGATAGATCCGGCCCTTAGACTGCCGGGGGGGAGGCACCTGCCTCACTCAGACCCTGACAAGGATTAAGCAAGAGAAGATGGATGTATGGATATAACCACAATGAAAAAAGAAAAAAAAAATAGGCAGTCACTTAAGGCCACATTACCTTTACCTAAGTAAGCCACTATCTTTCTCAATCCAGCCCTTTAGGTGATGGTAATATCACTATCACTATGTCCCTCCATAGTCAAGTGAAGAGATAGGTACAGCTGGCACACAGTTCCATGCATACGAGTTGAAGTAAACACTTTTCTTTGCAAAAGTATCAGTATAGTCCTGTTAGTCCTGGACTCTTGACAAGCAAGCTTTCAATGTCATAAAAGCAAACCCTGGAGAGAAACAGCTATATCCTTGTGGTTACTATTAGAGGAAAATTGAAAAAAACTTCAAATGCAACTTTGGTTAAAAAGTCATAATTTTCCTTATTAAGCAACATTGTTAAGCTTTTAAAGTGTTTAATTTATTCAGCTTGTCAGTTGTGTATTAGTTCTTAACTGCTTAAAAAAAAAAAAAACTGTTCTTTGTACATCAGGAGGTTTCAAGGTAGAGCTAATTGGTCTTTTTTGTGTAGGTTTTCCTTCAAGCTGAATCTAATGTTAAGTAGTTAGCATGCTATAGACTTCCAAGGGTGATGTAAAACTATATAAAGACCAATGAAATACCACTGGGATTTTTTTGTTTCTCCTCAGTGGTATAGTTAAGGGTGATAGAAAATTCTAACATGTTTCCTAAATGTTTCTCCTGCTTGAAAGTAATTTGATTATTAAAATATAAAAATTCTTATCAAATTGCTGTAGTCATAGTATTGGATCAGCAAATTGTGCATTTTGATCCTTTGGTAAGCAAACTGTGATATAATGATGAATGTCAAATTTGTTAAATTTTTAACTAGTATGATTTTGGTCAAATTAGGCTTTAATTGACCAACTTAAACTGCTTTTTTATTTATAAAATAACATTACATTCTGTTTCCTATTCAGTAAAATTGTAACTTGCAACTGAGCCTTCGAACATTATACTCCATTTGACTTTTTAAGTCTTGCACCAATAAAAAGCAAAACAATTCTGGCAGTCTTAGTAGTCAGTTCACTGTTCAATGTATCTATTAGTTGTGTGATTTAATACAGATGGTGAGTTACATTAAAAATCAATAGTCTTGCATGGCAAATATCATCACACTTTAGAAAGAAAAAAAAACAAAAAAAAAGAATTGCCACTAACATTTAATAAGGGAAGTAAAAAAGCATACGTCCATCTTAATTTTCTAGCTTGGATTTGGTTTTGTTAAAAGGGTCAGATTGCATTGTTTTCCAGTTAACCTTTTGAATAACATTGTTTAATATCCTGACAAAAGACAAAGCCTGAATCCTTGGAGTCAACTGTGACTGTTTGGTTTTAGGCTTGCTGTCATCCAGCGACCTACTTATATTCTAGGTTCACATCACTGAAATGCTGTCTACTTTTTTAAAAGTCATGATTATTGACATAATTAATGCATTGACTGACTGTGCATCATAAGACCTTTTACAAACCAAAAGTGGTTTAGTAATAACTGCTATAAGCCCTAATTCTAACTGTACCGAATCCAGGAACATCTGGAGGGCTCAGGGATAAATATCAAATCATTTACCTAGCGCCTGCATCTGGGCACCAGAGGATAGAAGAATAATCCTGTCAGTGTTGCTAATTGATGTTTTTTATTGAGGCGTGTAACAACGTAACAACCAATCTCAGCAATGCATCTCTCGTGCGTAACAGCATGACCTCCAATGCACTGATCCAATCTAGAAATAACCTTTTAATCTTCTGTGCATTGAATTTTTTTCATCTGATTTATGTTTCTTTACTGTGCCTTTCGAACATTTGTGTAAATATGCGACATTGTGCAAAGAGTATTCTATAAAGAAGGAAAATAAAATGGAGATAAAGAGGAAATTGTAGTTGATTTTGTGTGGAGTACTACATTTCTTTCAGATTTAGAGCCCAATTTCATTGTATAAAGTTTTTTTTTTGAAAGCGTTGACCCAAAACAAAACTAAAACCTGTTGAAATGAATGCAACAACAATTAATCACACTCACTATTACTGTACATTACTTCTTTATTGCATATCTTCTCTCTTCTTATTTCTTTGCCTTTCCTATCTTATCACTTAAGTCTGCTGGTATATACCAACCAAGATCCCACCCACCCAGACACTCACTACCACCCACCATCCATCCGACCCACATTTCAGCAGTCATTCATAATCACGGCTACGTTATCCAGGCTTAAGCACTTGCACGTTTTAGAAATGTAGATTAGAAAGTGAAGATATTTTGTCCCTTGCTTCAACCAGAGCTCACACTGACAAATAACAGATGAGCAGGCCCATAAATGCATACAAACGTTTATAGCCACGATGCAGAGCTTAAAGGTTAATGATGGATTGATTCTCAGTAGGCAAAAGCATTAAATTCTGCTTGTGCTTTCCTTTCTCTCAGACTCAAACTCGTCTTATTTTTAGAATAGACCATTCATATTTAATGCAAAGGAAATAGAAAACTGTAATATGCAGACTGAAGCGCCTGTGTTTTTTGTTTAACTTAAAAAGGTGTAATACTATAGTTGGTCTGATCTATGGAATGACTGAAGCGAGAAGAACTTTACACCTTTAGTTGGGAAGGTTTGCTCTCACACAGAGATTTTCAGAACAACCCAAAAAAATGTAATGCAGTTGCAATCGGTTATTTCAGGAGCAGTAGTGCTCCAGCACTGCTCTGATCCAGAAGGAACAAAAAGCACAAAGAAGAAAATCTGTCTCATCGGGTTTCTGTTACTGTTTGGATGTTCAAATAAAGTTGCCTTCACTTCATCCATACTCAAGTGAGCCCTACTAGACATATTGAAACCATTTTGTCAGTGGATTTGCACTTGATTTGTTTTGCTCTCTTCTTATTTTTATTCTATTCAAATGCATTGTCTCTTTCTCCTTATGATACACTATATTGCCAAAAGTATTTGCTCACCTGCCTTGACTCACATATGAGCTTAAGTGACATCCCGTTCCTAATCCATAGGGTTCAATATGACGTCGGTCCACCCTTTGCAGCTAGAACAGCTTCAACTCTTCTGGGAAGGCTGTCCACAAGGTTTAGGAGTGTGTTTATGGGAATTTTTGACCATTCTTCCAGAAGCGCATTTGTGAGGTCGCACACTGATGTTGGACGAGAAGGCCTGGCTCTCAGTCTCCGCTCTAATTCATCCCAAAGGTGTTCTATCGGGTTGAGGTCAGGACTCTGTGCAGGCCAGTCAAGTTCATCCACACCAGACTCTGTCATCCATGTCTTTATGGACCTTGCTTTGTGCACTGGTGCACAGTCATGTTGGAAGAGGAAGGGGCCAGCTCCAAACTGTTCCCACAAAGTTGGGAGCATGGAATTGTCCAAAATGTCTTGGTATGCTGAAGCATTCAGAGTTCCTTTCACTGGAACTAAGGGGCCAAGCCCAGCTCCTGAAAAACAACCTCACACCATAATCCCCCCTCCACCAAACTTTACACTTGGCACAATGCAGTCAGACAAGTACCGTTCTCCTGGCAACCGCCAAACCCAGACCCGTCCATCAGATTGCCAGATGGAGAAGCGCGATTCGTCACTCCAGAGAACGCGTCTCCACTGCTCTAGAGTCCAGTGGCGGCGTGCTTTACACCACCGCATCCGACGCTTTGCATTGCACTTGGTGATGTATGGCTTGGATGCAGCTGCTCGACCATGGAAACCCATTCCATGAAGCTCTCTGCGCACTGTTCTTGAGCTAATCTGAAGGCCACATGAAGTTTGGAGGTCTGTAGTGATTGACTCTGCAGAAAGTTGGCGACCTCTTCGCACTATGCGCGTCAGCATCCGCTGACCCCGCTCCGTCAGTTTACGTGGCCTACCTCTTCGTGGCTGAGTTGCTGTCGTTCCCAAACACTTCCATTTTCTTATAATACAGCTGACAGTTGACTGTGGAATATTTAGGAGCGAGGAAATTTCACGACTGGATTTGTTGCACAGGTGGCATCCTATCACAGTTCCACGCTGGAATTCACTGAGCTCCTGAGAGCGACCCATTCTTTCACAAATGTTTGTAAAAACAGTCTGCATGCCTAGGTGCTTGAATTTATACACCTGTGGCCATGGAAGTGATTGGAACACCTGATTCCAATAATTTGGATGGGTGAGCAAATACTTTTGGCAATATAGTGTACGTTGGTCCACCCGGCATTCCGACTCCAGGGTGTGATTAACCCAGGATAATGCTGGATGTAATAGCGAGACAGACTCCAGACAGACTCTCGATACTGTATAAGGCTATTTTCCAGGGTCTGTTTCGGAGTCTTGAATTAGCTTCATACTAGAGTTCCATTAGATTGTTAATAGATACATATAATTTTACAGTAAATCTATATTCTGCAAAAAAAAAAAAAAAAAATCCCCCTACTTAAACAAAATGTCTAAAAGTACATTAAAAAAAATATATAGATTTTTTTTTTTAAAAGTAACATCCCACATTGTCACAAAAAAAGATCTATAATTTGGATATAATAATACAAGGAAAATGTGGCAGTTACAAATTTTTTTTGTTTATATGCAGGTAGTTTAACCAATACACCAGAACCTAATTTAATGATGACCTTGATATTAACTCATTATATAGTTCCTTTTATCGCATGAGACACCACTTAATTTAGGGTAATTCAAAGTTTGGACTGTAAGCCATTTGCTGCATTTCGAATGAAGAACTCCAAATGCAATTGTAAAAAAATTAATGCGTTAATGCAGATTGCAACTTTTTCGAATGAGCATTAAAGCACTAAGGACTATCAGGAAACACAGTACATCATTACCTACTGCATGTACGAAAGTTTACTTTGAGAAGTGGGGGGGAAGCAAGTATTTTTTAATATAACTCTTACACGTAAATAAGTTCAACATTTTTTCTAGTGGATCTTCTGTGTTTGTTTCCTCAACTCTCTCAGCACTGTGACCATCTAATCACTGACCTGATTAGGTGCCGCATCAGATGTTTGCAGCGAGGCACAAGAAAAGATGGAGAGCCAATCAGAAGCTTATGGGTCATCTAAACTCGGGGAAGCAGGCTTCAGCTTCATGTTAAGGTTGAGCTGTTGTTTTCTGCTTATACTGTAGCGTAACATTGTTTTTGGTCAGTAAAAAGTGCATTGAACATGTCCCCGGTGTCCCCCCTAAATAACGTCCCTGACCTACTGAGACATGTACTTTTATGATGCTTCTTTTCAATTAAGTATTATTAGAGGGAGCAATAAAACAAAGTATTATTGCTTTTTTCAATATTACAGCGAAGTGATAATTTTTCACTTTTTCTCTTAAAGTAAGTTGAGTTTTCTTTTAAATCCACAAATGTCCCTTTTTTTATCTTTTATTTTTTACATCTTTATTTTAAAGAGGCTGTTTTCACTTCTGCTATCAATGTAAGATAGTCACTGTTAGATTTATATTGGATTAGATTTTTTTAACAACTCAGAGGCTTATTGTTTAGCTTCGTGAAAAGTTTTGGTCCACTTCAAAGAGTCTCAGCTCAATTCACCATTTTCTTTTTGATCTTTTCTCACTGGCAGGTATGCCTACACTCTTCTCAAGCATCAAATAACATCAAACACAATTTCCCTGACAGTCCTTCGACCAGGATTGTTGGCTGAAGCTTCTGACAGCTCACCTTATCTTCCCTTCACACTCTTACACCCTAGTTCTCCATCTGTTTATAATCAACATGAACCCACGTGTATTATGTGAAATTTCAACAGGTTGTTTTCCCACAAATATAAGGGTATTTTTTCCCTTTAACACCATGATTTAACAGGTTATAGCTTTTTTACAAAAATATACATATTCTAGACCACTTTGTTTTATTAAAGGCATCCTTTTTTTTCAGAAACTGGCTTATGGCTTTAAACCAAAAACACATTTGATATCAAATGCATGGACTCTGCAGCATTAAACCTTAGTCAAACAGATTTAGATTCACATCTTCTCATTTGCCATTTCATGTCTAAAACAGGGGTCTTCTGGAGATTTTTCAGCTAGATTTTGTGCCAAAAGCTGTCTCCGAGCAGATTGAGAGTCAGGCCATCTCCTGGCGTCTGGAGCTGCCAGGGAATGTCAAAGATGTTGGCTTAATGCGGGTCTACACCACCCCAAGAGACTTCATTGGACTGGCACCTCTGGTGATGGTAAGAGCCACACTTGCATCAGTTCAGCTAAAGGTTTGAGTGCAACAACTTAACAGATGAATCTACATCTATCAGACTGAAGGTGGTAAAACTGAGAAAGCATTGAAGAGAAAAACCTCTGATGCTTTAGATGAAAAGAAAACTGCTGAGAGGGGATTACATTCTTAAAAACATCAGGAAAACTTGTGCTTCGCTTTACCTTCTTATAAACACAAGTATATGGAGAGAAGAGATCTACAATGAGGATTAACTGCCTTTTGAAGACCTCTATTGAATAAATAACAGGATTAAGAGGAGTTTGCATCTTCTGCACAGATGAATTAATCTAAGTTTAGTTGCTAATGTATGATTCACAAGTTTCAAAGCTGGTCATGCCAGTTTTGCCCTTTTCAAATTTTTTATGCAGTGGCGTCGGCTGTGGGAGTTTCCCCTGCAGTCGAAGGGTTAGCCCCTGGGCAGCTGTGGCTACAGTGTAGCCTGTCACCATAAGTGTGTTTGTGAAAGACTGAATGTAGTGTAAAGCGCTTTGGTCAAGTCTCCTGCTATAGCATAAGTAGAGGCCAACTCTGTTCTTTAACGCAGCAGAAAATATTTATATTTGCCTTATGTCTGGTAACATATATCTAGAGGTACAAAATGGCCCTCGGTCACTTTGCCCTTTCACCAATTTATAAGCACATTTATTCCCAAACTAGCCATTTCAAATCAAATCAACTCAAATAAATCAGATTTATTGACATTTATTGTCACAATAGTGCACACAAAACTATATCATGTGTCTCCAGAATCCATTAAGAAACTTCAACATACAAACACCCATCCTTCCCTTCTAAAACTTTATGGTAATACGGTAAGTTAACCTTCTGGTTAATATAATTAGTTTGATTCAAAAAAACACATGGTGTTATGGCAGACTACGTAATGTAGATAATAAAATATGCCTTTAAAATGACCTTTTATTAAAAAAGGAACAAAACATTCCTAAGGCTGCTCGAACTGAATCATAAAGCATTCTTTGGCAGGCTTTATAAAAAGAAAAGTCAGGTAAAAATGATCACATGTGTATAACTGTCAAACCAATAAGAGATAGAATAACCAGTGCCCTAAAAACACCTATATATCCATTAGAAAATAGATATCAAATCTTATGTACTATACTATGATTCAAACAATTTTTGTAATTGTTAAAGAGCTATTCATAGTTCAGGTTTTAGAGTACAGAAAGTCAATTTTTTTTACAGAGAGATTAAATTGATTATTTCAAATGAATATTTTTATGAAAAAACAAAGCAAAACACAAAATTTTCCACTCTAAAATAAAACAAAAGAATGAATCAACACATTTTATGAAAGAAACACAAAACATAGTAAAGCTGTGAAAGCTGAATTTTTATGCTCATTATATTCAAAACACTTGAAGAAGTACCACATGGCTCCAGACCCCTACACAACAAACTCAAGACCTTAACTCTGATATTTGCTTGTATGATTTTGCCTTATTTTCCATTGCACCCCCCTATCAACAATGAAAATAACTTTTACAGATGCCTGCTCACAATTTAAACTTTTGCAAAAAAGTGAGTTGTTAGCACTTACTGCATGGGGAGTGCACCGATCTGATAAATTCCCAAATTGCTGAGGTCAGGGTTTCTGTGTTTATGCCTTACTGTATCTAAAATGTGCAGTGATAAAATGTCAGAAAAGCTGCCTAAATGTAGTAAAAACACCTAAATGTCGAGAATTACAAGCATATGTTCACTGATGTTAAACTTTCCAAATTCTATTATCTAAAACTTTTCTAACATTATGCAGACGTTATATGAAAACACCAGATAAAGGAAATGCAGAAAAGAAGAAAGGAACCATTTTTTTAAAGATTTTATTTTGCCCTCTGTTCTTTTTGCCTTGTTAATCACATGCTTGTCTGGATGATAAAGCAAACAAACAAAAAAAAGAGACAAAAAATGATCTCAGTTTATTTCAAGATTAATATTTTTTGTCCTTAAGCAAAATCCGTTTCATGTTGCAGCAGTTAAGAAAGAATCTAACCTCTGTGGAGAAGTTGTTTTAATCTAATTTCACTGCAGGATCAAGTCTGTTTCAGGCTTATAAAAAAAAAAAAAAAAAAAAAAAGATTTTTACAATCATCATTTAGATTCAGCTTAAACGGCAACCTCTGCTCTTTTCTTTAATTTCTGCTGAAACAGGTATTTGCTTTGCAGCTTTTATGCCATAGTTTTATTACCCTGACCTTTTGGTTAGATATTTATTTCGTGTTACTTTAGCATTAGTCTCAGTTACCTGTACAGCAGCTGAAGAGATTTTTGCCTTAGCCTTATTTGCTGAAGGTACAACAAATCTAATGTTTAACATACATATTTCAGCTATACATAATTTAAATCAAATTCTTCTTGGGAAAATTTAAAGTTTATTAGCAGACAGAAACTTGAAACCCCAAATTACTCTGAGTTTACAGAAAACAGTATCTGAATTTCTCTCAGCATGCTTCTGGCATCATCATGAGTCGAGTGATTGCTTTCTGATTTTCTGCTACCTCTGATCCCTTGGCTTATGTTTGGGTCAGTGTCGTTGATCTGAACCAGAACATGTCCTTTTGGAATTGCGGTCAGCAGCTGTCAAGCCAGCAGGGTTCAAAATGTGACACTGTCTGGGAAACATCTGCGGAACACTGTCCAGAACCTTCTATACCAGGGAGGAGGTGTAGGGATATAATTAAATAAAACCACTCGGATTACTTTCTTTAGCAGCTCCTGGGCAGATTCAGGAACCCCTTAATAAATACTAAAAGTGTGCTTTTGGCAGAGGTTGTGTTTTTTTCTTAGTATCAAGATACATGCATTGAAATATCTGCATCTTAAGAACCTCCACTGAAAAGATTGCTCAATGCTGATATTCGATTGGTTTGACTCTTATTTAGAATTTTTTTGGGGAACGGTCCTCAAATGTTTATTAATTGTTGTTTTTTGCTGTACAAATAATGCTACCTAAAAAGCATCACATTTCCAAATACCAGGACAATTTGAGTTATTCGTATTGCTGGAGACTGCCTCCACCTTTCAACCATATGGAGGCTTCTGCAATGTCCGATTTACCTATCTCATAAATCAATATTGTTATCTAAAGTATATTGACAAATATACAAGTTAGAAGATGATAAAATATAATGAATTGACCACTGCTTCTGAAAGAGATAGTAGAGACAAGCCTTTTTAAATCAAAATGATGGAAAGAAAATAATGTTGACAAAGGCTAAAGCGGAGAATGCTCATAATACTGTAGATCTGTGAGTGTATTTCAAGAAGCCTTGTAAATAATCCCAAGCAGGACTGTTTCGTACCTACTTCCAGCACAGACACAAACCAGCTGATGTCTTCTCTCATACACTCCACCTGCAGGCTAATCTGAACCTCAGCAGTCCTCCTTCTATCTCTAGTAGTTAGACTCTAGAGCCTAGCCTTGGCCTGCCCATGTCTCTTCCTGCTCTGTATCCCTAGAAGGCTGCTTTGATGTTACGCTGTCCTCCTCATGGTAGGCCACAGCCACTCTAACCTGCCTTTGGACCTCTCTCTGACCGACGGACTAATCTGATCTTCCACGATTCTGCTTCGATCCTCCACAGCCAGCCTCTAACTAGCCTTGGTCAACTGTAACCTTTTCTGGGCCACTGTGCTCCTCAGCACTTTTCTTGAGCTAGCAGCGGAAAGCTGCCGCCTCTATCACTGTGGTTCCTCAGCTCCAGAGGGTGGCATAGTAGGCTGGCTCTTCCCGGTTTTGTAGGTTTCTCAGCTGCTGTTCTTCAACTGATCTCCAACACCAACGTCATTTAGAGATTGGTTCTTAGGCAAGATCTGGTCGGTCCCTCATAGTATTTATTTATTCATAAAAACTATGGTTGGAAATTGGGCTTTGTTTGTTCGGTCTGATCTTGTCCTACTTTAGTTTAATAATAGACGTTGAAAACTGGGGGGTGATCTTTTCAATGACTTTTCAACCAATTTTTGCTCCATGGGATTTCCCCTCTGCTCCTGCCGGAGCTAAGGAATGCCATCTAACCTGACCTCGGTTCTCCAGGTGATTATTCCCCCGGTTTTGGGCCCTCTGACTAAAATAAACATGGACCGAGGGCAGGAGAAAGATGCAAAACCACTCAGAAAAAAACAAAACAAAAAAGCAACAACCGCCGCGACAATTGGCCATCTTCATTATAACTGGGCAGTTGCTAGTTGTACCTATATAAATGCTATTTTATTAGTCTGTGTAAGGTTGTGTATAGGCCTAACTTGCCACAGTCACAATGCAATGGTGATCTCTACAGTCATTAGTTTGTCAACTGTGTTGCCATAGTGCAAAAGATGTCTTCATCCACAAATTTGATCGGACTCCTATATAATTATAATTAGCAATCTTTAAGACGAGGCAAAAAGAAAAATTTAGATTTTCAGTTCATAGGTCATGTTAAATAACTTACATATACTGTAGATTATATATTACATTTGTATCTGTGAATCATTATAATTATTATACATTGTACCTTTAATTGAATGAATTCCCCATTAATAAAGTTTTTCTGCTTTTTTTAAGAGGAGAATGGAAAGTTTTTATTTGATTGCAGGATGGGTGCAGTTGAGTATTTTTTCCTTTACCAGTAATTGTGTAACTAGTAAGATGAGTGTAGAGTTGAATATATGAAAGATGTGGTTTAGGCTGGTAGAAGGTAGCTGTTGCTGAGCACAACTTAAGCCAGCCTAATTCTTTTGGATTCTGTCTTTGTTATCACATAGTAGTTCAGAGAGTCAGCAATCTTGTAATATCAAATTTACGGTAATCATTTTATAATCCAATACGTGTATTTCAACTTCAGTAAATGCAATATACTGAAAGGAAAGGAAACAGTTCTACACATGTATAAATGGGATAATGCCTACAGGATCTTATTTTGATTTTTACAGCAAAATGTGTATTCAGTCTTCTGTAAATAGACTTACTTAGAGAGGAAAAAACAAAATACCGTGCCTTCTTGCAGAAATATTCACTCACTTGCAGTCTTTTCACTCAGTAATTTGCATTTTAATTAGTTTTCATATCTTACTTTAAAGGGCAAAAGAGACTAAAGGCAATTATATTTATTAATATCAAATTTTTGCTTTTCTAAAAAGTCTTTTTCTGACAAGTTTTAAGTAAATAATCAGAATGCACAAAGTCAAAGGGTTAAGGGAATTTCTTCTTTTCATCTTTTCTTTGATAAATATAATTGTTCTTTTTTTTTTTTTTTTCTAACTATTAAATACCTCACATCCCACCTAGGTACAGATACTTGAAATGTTTGTTCTGTGATTACCTATCAGCCTGTAAGAAGTTTATGTTGCATCTTCCTGTTTGAAGAAAGCTGAAGTTGCGTCCATCCTCCTGAGTAGAATAAAGCAGATAAAAAATGATGATGTATTCTCCATAGTTACTTTCGGAAGGCAGTGTTTGTGGAATATGAAAACCCCCGATGAGAGATGGGTCCTAATTTAGGTTCTGTCTACAAGAGGAATGCGCTTGTAAAAAGTGGCAGATATCTATTCTTCACACCAGGTTTGATTTACAAATACAGGCATAGATGTTCCCTCTCTCCCTTATTCCAGCATGACACATTAAGAATGTGTATCTTTCACAATCAAAGTTCAACACACTGCAAAAACAATCCAGAAATAAGTAAAAAATTGCTTAAATTAAGTATATTTAGCCTTAATTTGAGCAGGTAAATAAGATGATTTGCCAATGGAATGAGTATTTTCACTCTTAAAATAAGATAGTTAGATAATATTTACTTGAAATAAGACGATAAAATTGTTTTTTCTAATTTTGAAAGGAAATTGTCTTGTTCCATTGGCAAAGTGTCTTACTTACCTCCTCAAATCAAGGAAAAACGCACTTATTTTAAGAAAAGAATAACTTATTGAGATTTCTATTTTTTGCAGTGCATGAACAAACATGAAATATATCTTACTAAATCTAACAACTGAAACTTGAGACACACACACACACACACACATACATATATATATATATATATATATATATATATATATATATATATATATATATATATATATATATATATATATATATATATATATATATATATATATATATATATATATACATACATACAATATATATATGTGTGTGTGTGTGTTCTGTAAAATATTATATATTATATCTGTCTCAGCAGGTAATTCATTTGCCATTTAAGATGTTGGAAAGTTGAAAATCCCCCAGCCTGAGTCAACAGTTTGTTTATGAAGCAGAACTGTACCACCTAAAAGTGGTAACTACAGATCTGGTCAAAAACAAAAGCAGTAGGGTGCTGTTTAGATGGTCTGTTCTTAAATATGGAGTGTTGTCCAATTAAGAAAAGCAAACAAATTCTCTGAAGCATTTCTAGCTCTTGGTTATGCTACTCTATGCTCTGTCACCAAGTTTAGGGTAATGATACCTCCTCTTTAGTCAGTTTTCTTTTTTTTCTTTAGTTTTGCAGCTTCTCCTCCAAAGCTGTTTGCCGCTGTTGCTTCCATATGTCACCAAAGAAGATCAAAATCCTTTACATATTTCAAAGCCTTGAGTTTTTGCTTTTGAGATGTATTTATCTTGGACATCATTATTTGAAAACTTTATCAGTGCATATTTAATTAAGTGATGCCAAATCTGAATATCACATCATTAAATCCCTTCAACATTAATCCTGTCCCAGCAAAGGTTTTCTTTAAATGATAGATTGGACTGGTTACTGCATGAAAAATTTCCTTTATTCACTTGTGTTGTCTCACTGTGAAATAAAATTAATGAGGGAAAAAAGTAGGAAAAAAATGAAGTAAATGTTTGGGTTGGTACATAGAGATATATTTTCTTTTTTATGACCCGGGTCCAATGTGTGTGTGAATGACAAGCCATGTTTGTTATTAAGCTATGCGAAAGAGCTCATGATTTCTGAACTGCTAAAAAAAAAGTAAAATGGATTTTTTTTTTTAATACTTGTTCCAATGATTTGTCTTTTTTTCATATGAATAGTACATTATGCAGAACATGAACTAAAACTAACCTTTACTTAAGATGCTCCTTTTTCTGCCTAGACATCAGATATTTTGAATACTGCAATGTTGACGGGGAAAAGGGTGTCAGTTCCTGTGAAAACCGTTGCTGTTGAGGCTGATGGAACAGTTACAGATGTGACAAACTCCACCAACTGCAGGTCAACTCAGGCGGACGTGCTCAAGGTAAGTCATGAAAACAGGACCCTAAGAAGCAGACAGGTTATGTTGATTTATAAGGTTTCATTTGACATTTTGTTTTGTATTCATTTAACATTGTTTGATTTATTTAGAAAAGTTTGCTACTAACCTTTTAATTTTAACAAAATTTCAGCCCAAAACGAAATAATTCAGTTATATCTTATGAGTATAGGGGAGGATGTTGTACGTACTTGCCCCCATTTTCACTTACTGGTGAGTCGGATATATAGTAGTGGAAAATTTGCAAATCTTCTTTTGGAAAGTAAGCTTGAATGAGCGATGCACACAGAAACTTTTAAACAGAGCATGCATGAGGGGAAATTGGTTTGTGCATGCTCTTGCATGCGTTTAATAGGCGTTCCCTCTAAGGAGCGGGTACAGGGTTGTGCATGTTAATTTCTGTAGATAGGGCTGATGTTTTCTGTGTGAAAATCCTCCACTATACCTTTCACAAAATAATTTTTGAAATTTGAAGTTAAGGGAAAAGAAATCAGAAACAAACTACTGGAATGTCATTCATAGATGTCCCATGACGGAAATCATGCCTGATTGTTTCAGGTAGTCTAATCTGCATGTGAATTCAAATATGTAGAATTGTTCCTCCTTAACTCAATTAAAGCAAAGTTGTTTTTTTGTAAGTCTTCAAGAACAAACTTGGAAATTACCATTTTTTGACCTTTGTGTCACTAAATTCACCAGTGAACTCACAAAATTCAATATTTTGCATGACATTGTCAAAAAAACAGGGATTGGTTAGAATGATCTTGTGAGATTCTGTCAGACATTAAGTTCCAAAGGTTTGGTGTGAAAACACTGTAATCTACCCAAAAAATTTTCATTGTCAATCTTCACAATCTTCTCAACTATGGTGTGTGTCTTTGGGTTATGCACTATTTTTAAGCACAGTTTTTCCTTCCACTTATCAGCACTCTGTCATCAGCCATCTTCTTTGGTAAGGACCTTGGTTATAATTATCTAGGTCATAACATTAAAAGGAAATGAAAGTCCATTTTTCATTGGTTTTACTGTAATACTAAAATGATCTAACAAACTAAATTCTGGGTTTTCATTAGCTGTGAGCCATATTCATAAAACAAATCAGCAACATGATATCCTGGGTTTAGTTTTAAAGCCAAATTACATATACATTTGTCAATAATGATGTAAGTCACTCAGATGCAGCTTTCGAACTCACTAATATTTATCGCTGTGAGCCACCATACTAAATTATATTCTTGAAGGGATTGTAGAAGAACACATGTTAGATTACAACCAGTACTTTGGAGATCTCCAGAACATCACACCCTGTCAATCAATGAGTTTCACATGAGATGGTCTTTTGATAGCAGCCACAGTCTGTATTTCCACAAGACTTTAATTTGACCTGTTCTATCCATCCCCATCCAACCCCCCCCCCCAAACACACACACACACACACACAGACACACAAACATACTCTTTACAACCCACTTTCCATTGCTTCACTCTATTCTCCAGTCTAGTGCTCTCCAATTACCCCACTGGAGCTACTGGTTTGTTAAGATAAGTGAGGCAGCAGTGGAGATAGGCCTCCAATCTGAAATAAAACACACCAACTGCTGTATCTCACCTCATTGCTCTTGCCGGTGGGGCCTGCATGGCTCCCACTTCCAGAACGACATCACAGGAACAGCTGTAAAGAAGGGCTTATTTTACTTCCTGTAAAAGCAGCGGCTTTAGATGAAAAACACAATCATTCAAACCCTTTGAAAACACACTGAAATTGGTTTGAAGTTTGATTTTTTTTTTTTTAAACCATATTGTCTTTCAGCTAGAGTTTTAAATCCCTCCTTGGTTTCCAGGCTAATCTTCTCCATCGCAAGATATCTTGTTCTGCTTATGCAAACCTCCACTTAAAAAACAAAACAAAACATGAAACACTTAAATCTTTAAAACATCTAAAGACAGTGAAGCCAACATCTAAATTTAAGTATGCCATGTGCACATTTGAAATCAGCATTTTATCTGCATTTCTGCCTTTTTGTCATTCCAGGTCTCAGAACGCTGTAACTATGTTTTCGTAAATGGGAAAGAGACGAAAGGCAAAAGCAGCGTGATGCTCAATTTCACGTACGGTTTCCTGAGCTCGCAGCTGGAGATGAGTGTGTGGGTGCCCCGCCTGCCCATGCTCATTGACATCGCTGACCCTGAGCTTAGCCAAATAAAAGGCTGGAGGGTCCCCGTCACAACTGGCAATAGAAGGTAAAGGAGAACTAGCTTGAGGCATAACCAAACTAAACTGCAGCTCTGGGACTCCAGGACTGCTTGTGGGCCCCCAGGAGCACATAACTGTTTGGTTGGAATGTATATTAAAAAAAATACACTTATTTGATATTTTTCTTTCTTTTTTAGTCTGATTTAAATAGTATTTTTAAAAGGTTAGCTTCTGTCTAAAAATTGACATACAGTGAAAAACACCTTATTTTTAATTGTTATTATTACATAACATCTAAGTGCTGTGTATAAACAACAGTATCCTAATACTATCTAAATGTTGAAGACAGCAATGTTCATTTGTATAGAGCTCCCCCGCTGATGTTTGATCCAAAAGTTTCCCAATTTACCGTCCCTGACTCCCAATTAAAATTTAACTTATTTCTGCAACAATAAATTGTGCATGGTTTAAGTAGTTAAGCTTTTAAAACAGCTTTTTTGAGTTTCCTTTAAACTATAAATCCACTTAAAAGTGAACACTTTTAGGCCTGTGTACATCTAATATGCAGTAGCTAAGCAGATTATTTCCAAATCATGTTTCTGTGAAGCTTAAAGTGTAAGCAAATTGGACCTTATTTTTTTGTGATAAATTTCCTATTAGCCCAACCTTTCTCTGCTAGATTTTTACACATCACAATATTTACTTTTTATGATGTAAAGTTGTTGTAAATCGAATAGGAATTCAAAATCAGTTTTGGTTAAGGTATTAGCCCCCCTTTAAACCTTTTGCCACAAAAAAAAATAATTGCAATTATTAAGAAGGTATTTTCAAACTTTTTTATTAAATGAAAAACTGAAAAAATTGGTTTGCAAAATTATTTAGCCCCCTTGAGTGAATACATTGTAGCACCACCTCTGCTGTGATTACAGCTGCAAGTCACTCAGGGTGTATCTCTCTCAGTTTTGCACAATGAGAGTCAGAAAGTTTTGCCCATTCTTCCTGCAAAACAGCTCAATCTCAGTGAGGTTTGATGGAGAGCGTTTGTGAACAGCAGTTTTCAGTTCTTTCCACAGTATCTTGATTGGATTCAGGTCTAGACTTTGACTTGGCCATTCTGACACCTGGATATGTTTATTTGTGAACCCTTCCACTTCAGATTTTGCTTTTTGTTTTAATTAATGGACAGACAAGTGAAAGATACAGCCTGGAAATATAAAACTTAAATGCAAAGTTTTTGATGGAGTATTAAAAACAAGATGTTGGTTAAGAAAAAAAGCATCTAAAATTTGCTGAAAGACTGTCAGTTGATTTGTTTACAGTAGAGCCAATTGAATCAAAAAGTACCTGCTCAAACCCTAATTTGGAAAATAAAATCGGCAGTTTGCCCTATTTTCAAGGAATCCCATTGTTATTGATATTAATCACTTTGAATGGAATCTGTTCACAAATTTGCAAATGCTGCTGTGGGTTTTTTACACAGCTGCATGTTGCCAACCATTAGTGAGTGAGTGAGCATTAGACACGCCACAGATGTCCTGAAAGTAAAAGGTTAGTAGCGTTTCAATCAATAAGTACAGTACAGTCATTATCCCCCCCCCCCCCCCGATCCTGTGATAATGGCTGTCATCCTCATCCCCCGAGTTCAATACTGAGCTCCAGATTCAAACAGACAGAAGGTCAGATACCTCATATTTCAATAACATTTTCCTGAATAGGAAATGGGACAGCCTCACAAAATTATTTATACAACCTAACTATTTTTAAAATTAGTAATGTCAAAGTTTCAAACATTTTGGGGTTTAATGTGAATGTAGGAAATCATTTAAAACAAAGACAAACATAGCTAGATTTTTGAAAAATTTTTATTGATCAATACAATTCCATTGTAGATCTGACTGTATGGTTGGTCAGTACCACTTTTTGAAGTCAAACTCCTGCCTCAGTCTTAATTATTTTGAAGCCTAGCAGGATTCCCTTGTATTCCAGATTCTTTGCAGCTCCCTGCCTTTTGGTGTTTCACTATGTGTTTGGTATGTTCAGAGTGAGATGTAGTTTAAGTTTACCCAAACTTACATTACTTGTGGTAAAAAGCACTCACTACAGTATGTCTTTGCAGATCGTAAGCCATAGCTTGGCAGATTACAGTTCTGTTATTGTTCAGGAATGTTCAGATGATGAAGAGAACCGTGCCTCTTCAGGTGCCGGAGAATGGAATGATGTTGCATAACTTCATGTTATATAACGGATTTTCTTCATAGAAGAGTTGCACAAGATTTTTTTAGGGGTACCTCAGTAAGAGGGCTAAACAGCAATGCAAACCAAATCTATGTAAAGATTTTTAAAAATAGTGCACATTACAGTAAATCACAAAAAATATAGATAGCTTTCTGAATGAAAAACGTTTAAAGATTTAATTGGACGTTTTGAAACACTTTATAGGTGTACACATGTTATACTGAGAAAAAAAATAATTCTGTCAATTACTGCATGTTTCCTAAAGGGCTTATTTTAGATTTTACAAATGAAGTAAAATTGATAAAAATCACAAAATAAGCCACAGAATGTTAAAGGTATGAATAAAACTCACTGATTATGTTTCAGTACTTAGCAACTTGGAAAGCTCAAAACCTTTTTATAGAAGTAGAGCAACAGTTGTGTGGATATAATAATTCCCATGTGAAAATAACAAGAGTTTCAATAAAACGATGATAAACCAAAGAAAAGACAGAGGAACATTTTTGCAGGTATTAGAACAAGGTTTTGCTACTAAACTTCAAAAGTTGGACAACAGTATTTAGCCAAGAGTTACTATTTTGTGCAAAGTTGTTGAGTCAGAGTGATTTAATTCAGGCAGCATTGCCATCACATGTTAAGCTTTGACCTCAGGCTAAGTAGTAATGATGTTTATTTGGACTTTACCACTTGACGAAAGCTTTCTGCCTGCAGAGTAAAAACATTTCCATCAACCCTGCAGCACACCTGAGGTGCAGCGTGTGGCAGGACCAGCTGCGTGTATGATAATTATATGATCATTGCTGAGAGGTTCACAGCTTAACCTCTACCACATATAAACAAACCACTCAGCCATGGGATTGTGGTTAATTTAAGTTAAATTGATTTTGAGGAAAAAGGTCACTCCACATGTGCTTTGCCTCCAAAGCAGCAACAGCAATGCTGTTGAGTTTTGCTATTTTTCCTTCAGAAGTTCACAGATTAACAGCATGTTTTTGTTGTGCAACTGTTGTCTGGAAAATGCTAGAAGCAAGTGGGAATAACTTTTCTGGGTATGTGGGTAGGGAAGAAAAAAAATCTGTCCAGTGTTATTCAAAATAAGACTAGAATTCCAAAAGCGAAACTGTACATTTATAACATGGAGTGTAATATAGTTCAGATGTTTTTTCTTAATTCAGTTTACTGTGGTTTGTAGCTTACAGAGACTACAAATATAACATTTGCCACAAAAGAATATTCTCATACAGAATGATTATGTTATTGTCATATTATATCACAGGGAATTACTTTGCTGCTGTCTGATAGATGGTCAGTGAAACTCATGACAAAGAGGGTACGGTAAATCAAAAAAGTCCTTGTAAAAACCCGGTTTTTTACTGTGAGTTGTATCCGAGTGTAAGACTTAAAAAAGCAGAAAAGATTGGTCAGAATAAGGACAAGTTACAGGGGGAAAAGACATGCAGAAAAATGTTAAATCTTCCTTAATCTCCTCAGGAAGGCCACTGGATGATCACCTTTTTATCTTTCTATTGCAGAAATTGATGCTAAGGAGCCCTGGCACAGTATTTCTCATTTCTCAGTTATATTACACTTTGTAGACAAAGAAGAAAAAAAGTAATTCAAATAATATATATATTTTTTTTATTTCTAATGATATTCTCATTTGTTAAGAATCGTAAATTCACTACATAAGTGTCCCTGTAAGTATTAGTTGATTATTTCTTGTCTTTGTATGTCAGATCTACATGGGATAGTGAAGAAGATGAAGACATGAGGAAGGGCCGTGGATGCATGTTACAGTACCAGCTATCGACATTGAGGGTGTTCACGCCCTTTGTGGCCCAATCTGATTCTGAGGTTCTGCCAAGTCCATTTACTGGAGAGAAGTCTGTTGAATACTTTATAGGTTCTGATTGGCAGGTAATCAAATACAAAACATTCCCTCACTGCCTGCTTGCAGATGTTGGCTACTATTCTAATTTTGAATGTTACAGCATTTCAAGTCATTGACTATTTTTGTTTTCTATTTTTTAATTTGCAGGTAGATGTGACAAATCTTGTACGCAATGACCTAAAAGTAGTAGACCCTGAAATCGCTAAAGTGCAAGATGGGATCATACTGCAAGGACGGGCCGTGGGGACCACTGTTTTGCAGGTAAAGCATCAGCAAACCTCTGTGTGCAGCTTATTTGTTGTGGTTTTTTTAGCAGTCTGAAAGGGATTGTGTTTCTCTTTGCAGGTGTTGTCCCCATTGACATCGTCTGTCCTGGCTGAGAGAAGCATTAGGGTGATGGATGATAAAGTGAGTGTGACAGAACTAGGGGTGCAGTTGGTTTCCGGACTCTCTCTGTCTCTTCAGTTCAGCCCTGAGAGCAACAGGGGTATTGTTGCCACGACGACCATGAGGGAGACAATCACAGAGCTCAAACAAGTAAACAACTTAAATTCTCAGTTTCTTTTCTGTTGTAAAAACTTCAAGATAGAATATAATGTAGGCAAACACAATAGCCCTTTGAGAAGAAATATGACAGAACTCAAATTCCTGGATGAAGCACTGCATATTGGGCAACAGGTGATTTCACAGTCTGTGTTTTGGTAACATATATCATCATACAACATTTATGCTCTGATCAGTGAATCAGAGCAAATAATTATTTGAGTTTTTGTTTTAGAACCTAACAAACTGACTAAAATTAAATATGAAAATTGATTAAGATCAATCTAAATAGCATTTCTCTGTAATAGTATTTTTTCATGAAGAATAAATAAAGATACATGGTTAACTTGAAATTGAAATGAATCCTACATGCTCATTTTTATCAAAATTATTCTAACATTTAACTGTACAAAAAAGTAACATGAGTAAAAGAAAGAGATACACATTTGAACTAAAATTTTGCCTCTTTAAAAATGAATGTGTTCTAAGTTTGGAGCCTGATCAGCAGCTGCAGAGCTCTGAGAGACCAAGATGAAGCAGACAGATGATCATGTTAAAAGCTCACTCACACATTTAGCTGTGGCAGTCCGCCCATTTTAAACCAGCTCCCTGTCACTGGCAGGCTCTCTTTTACGTTCACTGCACTGCTACTGCTGCTCTGTCCCAGTCAATAAACCTGCCAATGTGGATGACCAGCCAATTGTGACTGTGATAGCAAGCTGTTGTCCTCAGGGCAATTGACAATGTATTCAGATCTAAAATATAGGTTAGCATTGTGGTGACCCAGAAGTGCTGAGTAGCCACAGGAAATGGGTCATTTTGTTGTAATGTCACTTGATTGGCTAATTCTGTACCTAATGTGACCCCTAATGTCTCCTTTTTTGGTAACGCTGAAGGATATCTGCTGTAATATTGTATAAATTATAATTGGTTAAAAACAAATGTATTTTTCCATGCTTTTGGAGAAATTATTCAAGTGTATGCAGTTTGGAAAAGTAATTTAATAGCCAGTTGTTTCTTGGTCTGAATCAATATGAAAAAGACAATGGGGGTATAGAGAAAACTTTTTCAGGCTTTATTCTTTAATCTATTGTTAGAAATGTTCAATATTTTCCCTTTATTCCTTCACTGTTTCCATTCTCCATTATTTTTCCTTTTCGTTGTGCACACCCACTCCTTTTCCTACCTTGTTCAACCCTTGTAACTATATTTTCCTAACTTTCTAGTTTCCTATCTCTCAGTTCTATATCCTTTTTTCTTCCTCTTCTTTCTGTAATGTATGGCTCATTTATCCTTTCATTCCTTCAGTCTGTCCCCCTCATCTTCCTTTCCTTTTTCATTCTGTCTATACTATCTTCCCTCTGTTTCTTTCCTTCCTCATGTCTAACCTTTTGCATCCTTTCCTTCAGCCCATCCATCCGTTGTCTTCCCGATTGGCAATTACCTACATTCCTTCCTTTTGTCTCTGTTCCAGATCTCTGTAGTTATACCTTTTAACTCAGTTTTCTTTTTACTTTAAATTTAAGGCTTGTCCACTGAAGAAATATAAATTTGGCACAACCTGAGGTGTTTTGCATTTAAATCTAAATATAAAGGAGTGAAAATTTCTACTTTGCATGTGGAAATATATGGAACCTGTGCAGGAATACTAAGTTCTGTGTTAAATTCTGCATTATAAATGATATCACTATTGTTTTCTATGATATTTCATTTAAAAAGCATTTGTTTGCTTCCTGACTTGCATACTCAGTAAATTTCAGTTAATGCTTTTTTCTCTCTTGCTGTCTTTGTTTTACTACAGGAAGCAGTGGTCAGCTGCTGGATTCAGTTTAGCGATGGGGCAGTAGCTCCACTGGAGCTTTTTGACCGGAGTGTCTACTCTCTCACTGTTTCCACCAATGATGAGAGGGTGGCCACTGTGCGGCGTACTCCCCTCTCCACATTTGTGGTTGCACAAGGCGAAGGCCGTGGAAGGCAGGTCAGGGTGGAGCTGAGGATCTGTGAAGAATGCCAGAAGTCTAAGAGGAAGAGTAAGCTAGCAGTGGGGGCAGGAATTCTCAAGACCAACTTTCAAAATAGCAGACATAAAGCAGGAGGTGCAAATAAAAATATGGGATCAACGGGTGAAGTTGAAACAGCAATGACCTCACAAAAAAATGTCACAGTGATGGATAAAAGGCCAACAACTAACCTGCAGTCTGTTATGGTCGAAAGCACAGCCACGACAATTTCAAACAGCTATTTGCAAACACCTCCGGTATGGGCTGGAAAAACAAAACCTACAGGAGCTTTTGCATCTGGTGTCAATACCATGGTCACTCAAACAACCATGAAGAAACTATGGTCTGATGCACAGTTGAACACTGCCAAACCAACAGTGAGCTTTGTCAGTAAAAGAGATGGGAAGAAGAACCAATACGGGAGCATGCTTGACAACTCAAATACTTCCTCTAACTATAATGCTCCTGGAGGTGACAAACCTGAGAAAGAGACTCCCAATACTAAAACACCGAAAGTAATTGGAAGCGACATCATCAGAACGTTCAAAGCCCTGTCAGACTTAGAAATTGGCATATATTCCTTGATAGGGGTCTCTTGTGTTGGTATTATGGCTTTTCTGCTCAACTGTGCTTCATATAAGCTGTGCTTTAGGAAACAGAAGACCCCCATACAGACAGGTCCAGCTCCCCATGCAGACCCGAAGGACCACAAGCATGACTGGGTTTGGATGGGGGGCAACAGTCATAGCACCACTACACCTGTTGCTCCGGTTGCTCCGACTCAAGTCTCAACATTAAAACGTGAGCCTCACCGCCCCCTTGAGTCCCACCATTCAATAGATTCAATTGGGCCCGGTGGTTTGCAGGGGTCTTTGCCAACTGTTAGTGCCCCAGCTGTCCCAGAAAGAACCGCTACACTAGGACGCTGCAGGAGCGGCTCCCAACACCAGTTTAAAGCAAAGGCAATAGACCCTATGGCAAACAGGTCAGCCACTTTGCTTGCAAGGCCACACCGCAGTGAGCCTCTGCATTCTCCCACCAGCAAGAGAAATCAGGTCCAGTTCACCACTTTTACAACTCTGGACATAAAGCACTTGGCTGCGCTAAAGAAGAATGGTGTGGACTTAAATTGGGCTAACCAGAAGACGCAGCAGCAGCCCGCTTCTCAGCCCCAGACACCTTTACCTGACATGCCTTGGCCTGTTGTGACACCATTTGGAGAACCCCAGTGAGTTTACTGAAGTAGCCATACTGTAAACTGTATGTTTGCATGGGAGGAATATGGTGCCTTTTAAATATTCATACCTGTTGATCTTTCCACAGTTGGTAACATCTCTGCCATAATCTCACATATATTTCATTGTGAAGTGGAAAGGATTCATGCTTCTTATATTTTTAAACACTGAATTCTAAAAAGTGCTGTGTGAAATTATGTGCAGCTTCTGAAATGCATTGCTTTGTTGCACCACCTTTTGTTGTGGCTGTAATTGCAACCCTTTTGGAGTATACATCTATCAGCTTTGCACATCTAGAGGCCCACTGTTTTTTGCAAAATATGTCATGCTAAGATTGCATAAATAGCATCAGTGAATATTTATTTCCATGTTTTTGATAGGGCTATTCTAATGTGAATCCACTTTGGGCCATTCTGTTATTTCTCTAACTGTATATTTTGGCTTGTGAACTTGCAATCATAAGCCATTACCAAGCAGATGACAGCCTCACAGACTTTTTGGTTTTATTTTGGAAGCCATGGATCATTACCCTAACAAATGTTCTACTACTCTGCTTTGGTCCTTCATATAAAATTCCCACAATAAGCACGTTAATGTTTGCAGTTGAATTATGAAAAAATGTGTTTCAGTTGGTATGAATACTTTCACAAGGCACTGTATTTCTAAATGAGATGAGACAAGTTCTGACAAGAAATGTTTAACAAATTATGATGGCTAGCATTTTTAATGTCAAAAGGTAATGGACCATAAAGAATTTATACAATGTACCAATATAGGGCTTAAGAATATTGTCAATATTTATTGTGTAATAATTCTAAAACAGTCTGTCATGTATGTATAGATATTTATTGTATAGTATTTTACACATATATACATTTATTGGTAAAAGAAAACAGAAAATAAACAGTGGATATTTAGTTACTTTTATACAATTGTGTAGTTTTAGTCTGAGTAGTTCTAGACATTGTTAGTCATCAGAGTGGATGCAGTATGAGAGAACTTCATCCTTGTAAATAACTCCTTTCTGCTACCAAAACCTGTAATATGACAGAGAATTATATAATTATTACTTTATTATAAACAATCTATCAACATTTTATTTTTAGTTATTTGTTTGACAAGGGAAAATGCACAATAATCAACATTTTGCACTATAAATATTCCTGACTTAGGTAAATTAAGCTAGTTTTGTATAAGTATTACATACTGTGTCTATGTTTGTAGTTTAGGCTTCAGGTCTGTCCTATGGATGTACTTAAAATAGTTAAATGAGAAAATGTCAAAAAGTGCAATACATATTCATGTGAAATTTTTGCATTTGTAAATACAAAAGTGATGCCTTTTTAATTAAGATTTTCCTGTTTTTATAGAACAATTTCCTGATAAATTTCTACTAGTATAACATTTTCTTTTAAAGTTTTATTTAATTGCTTTGTTTGAGACCATGCAGTAATTCTGACACAATAAATTGTTTGGATTAAATGTCTGAAGCTTATGTCGGATTCAGTTGTGTTTTACTCCGGAATGTAATTTACAGTAAGTTTGATGTCATTTACCTCTTAAATGCCCCTACATTATGTTGGATGTGCCTACCAGTGTTAGGCCTCCGTGTTCCTGCACTGTATTAAAAACAAAAAGAAAAGAACAAAAAGAAAATAAATTGCCCATCATTTCTTCTATCCTCAGATCATCCCCAAAGAATTGTAGAAATGTTATACTGGTGGTCTAGGATAACTCGCAGTTCACATTCTTTCCTTATTCACTCCTTCCAGGGTCTCCAAGGTTAGCTCAGCTCAAAATTACGTTCTATGAGCTGTGATAAATAAAAACTGTCTGCAGCTTAAAGACGACCGGATAAGCTGATTTTATGCACAACATGAATTTGGTTCTTAGAATGTGACAGAATACACATCATTCCATGCAAACAGCTACAAATGGATTTAGAGTGATAATAAAAAGACTTTTAATATAATCTAACTAGTTTCTCAACAAACCTGACCCTTTTGTAGGCCTATAGTCTTTCTTTTTATTAAGCTTCTTTTTCACGGGCAGCAGAAAACGAAAGAATCTAACCAAGTAGATAGGAGTGGATTAAGTGTTACTTCTTGGTGTAGAAATTTTTAAAATCATCAATTTAACAGCATCGATAAATGAAAATGGACATATTCTAGGTAGAAAAAGCAGTAACACGATGTCCCTTATATTGCCTTTTTATTTGAAGCCAGCATCTTCCTTTTCCCCATTCCATTTTATTCCTTTCTCACCAGTGACATTAGCCAAACATATATTTTTAAGTGTGTTGACCTTATCACATTTTCCCCTCATTCAATCACAATAAAACAATATGTTTACCCAAAAGAAGGGAGCTTCTTAAGTGTTGAAATATGAAGTATAATTAAAGTCAGACAATTTATTCACATTCAGCTGCTACATTTTTAGACCTAATGCCAGCCCTTAGGAGAGCTTTCCATGTAATAAGGAATATAACCTGTAAATAATGTAAAAGTTTAGGGAAAAAAAGGAGTTGAATCTCCTGGTATCATTGCAGCTGGATCTCTAATCTGCAGCATCAGCTTCCCTGTTGACAGATTTGAAGGATTGGGGTCATTTTGTTTGAGGATTACTGTGCATTAGTGAAGTGTCTTAGCAGCAGAGACCCGTTAATGTGGGCTAAAAGAGACAAGGTCACCTTTTTTCTAAAGTCTTTTTTTTAATCCATGTTGGATATACAATCAAACATATAGTGGGAAACCAGAAAGCAAAAATGCAACAGAAAAAGTCAAGAAAACAAAAACTATGTGTTTCTTATTTATGGGGTGTATTTGATGAGTATGTTTTTATTTTCCTTATTAGTATGTTTTTACTTGGGTGGTTTTGTTTGGGATTGAAGGGGAACAGTGGAAAAAAAGTTTGTGTGTACAAACTTGGTGATCAAAGTTGATTTGGATTCTAAAAAGGTTATTTTTATTTATAATTTATATTGGATGAAGATAAATTGATAATATGCTACATCAGTCACATTTTTGGTTAGAAAGACCCAAACACAGTGTCTATTACTAAAGTAAAAGAGTCTCAAAATAAATCAATAAAAAAATCAGCTAAATAGCTACTAAATGTAGACAAATGACAGGCTGTCATGTGGTGTGGAGGTTTGTAGAGGACCCAAATGCAGAGATGAAAGCTGAGATGGTTTCTTGCAGATTCAATTAGGACTGGTGGCAACGGAAGCATAAATCCAGAAATAACTGACCAAGGAACACGGGAACCAAAACAAAGGGGAACATAGAGCTTAAAGAGGGAAGGGAATGCAGCCAATACTAACTGCAGAGGAGGGGTATATGTGGCAACCAAACAATGAATGGAGTAATCAACTGATTGGAAGCAGGTGTGGTGAGAAGACTCTAGAAGGGAGCTATGGGAAAGGAGATTGACACAAGTGGCAAGAGACAGTAAATAAGAAATACATAAGACCTCAAATGCAACCAGAAAACAACTAGAATGACATAAAATGGAAATAAAACCTATGACCTTGAAAACACAGAACAAAATCTCAAAAAGAAATTGTAAACAGAATCAAAAAGTCCAGAAAGGGCAGAATTATGACACAGAGAAATGCAGGGTTAGAGGGGTATGTCATAAAACCCGCTCTGAAAAGCTTTATTTCATGCTATATTATGAAAAAACATGTTAAGACCCCATTACTGGATCTCACCAAAATCTTGGCTGCTTAAAAAGGCATAATCATGTTACATGCTATAAATTAAAACAATAAAATATGCTCTTGAATTAATTCAGTGCACACAGGAGATTTCTTTAAAAAAATCCTAGTTGAACATTAACCGAATCTTGTAAAAATATGAACAGACAGAGTGAACAAACCAGTTCCGTCACTGGCCTGTTATGATTAAAAACATGTGTGCTAACTTTTTATGTAGTAGAAGATGTCATAAACAACACAGAAACAGGAGACAATGAGATAAACCAATCATTGGGAGCAGATAGCTATCAGCGGTTGAAGAGCTGCTATTATTGTTTTAACACTTGTTAAAGGAATAGTACACCCAAAACATGATTAGCCTTCATTTTCTACTCACCCCCATGCTGAACAACACACTGGAGTACTTTTTTGATATCTCAAATGCATCTGGAGATCTGGGAGGCTTCTTGCTGTCTGCTGACATTCAAATAATGGAGGTCTATGGTGACCGAGACAGAAAGGTCAATAAAAGTCCACAAAAAACGTGTCAATATTCCTCCATACTGCTCGTCCAATGTATTCCAAGTGTCCTGAGTGGGTAGCATCCAGAATTTACTCGAAACGAAGTCATTTAGAATGTTTTTAGAGCATAAACAGTAGTGTATAGGATTTCCTGAAAGCGCGCACACGCGCGCTCACGACGCTACGGAAGCCGGCAGACCAAACCAGCGCATTCAGCTCGGCAAAGAACTCATGCTCTTCCTCAACACTGAAGTCCTCAGATATTTTTCTTTCGTTGTTTCTTTCTTTGCACAGGTAAACAGCACATTTCTTCTTCTACGCTTGCATTATTGGAAGAGCAGACGCTGAATGCGCACTTTCATCTGGTTTGATCTGCCGGCTTCCGTAGCGTCGTGAGCGCGCGTGTGCGCGCTTTCAGGAAATCCTATACACTACTGTTTATGCTCTAAAAACATTCTAAATGACTTCGTTTCGAGTAAATTCTGGATGCTACCCACTCAGGACACTTGGAATACATTGGACAAGCAGTATGGAGGAATATTGACACGTTTTTTGTGGACTTTTATGGACCTTTCTGTCTCGGTCACCATAGACCTCCATTATTTGAATGTCAGCAGACAGCAAGAAGCCTCCCAGATCTCCAGATGCATTTGAGATATCAAAAAAGTACTCCAGAGTGTTGTTCAGCATGGGGGTGAGTAGAAAATGAAGGCTAATCATGTTTTGGGTGTACTATTCCTTTAACAAGTGTTAAAACAATAATAGCAGCTCTTCAACCGCTCGACATCGGTGTGAACCGGACCCAGCAGGTGCAGCAGAAGCAGCGAGTTTACATGCAAAGTCAATGGTTGACGCGCGTATAGGCGCAGCAAAAGGTCCCGCAGCGCGTTTTGAGCAGCAGGCGTAGCGCCTCGGGAGCGTTTAAGTATCTGACGCACCGCTATGAGGTGCCCCCAGGGACATAAATCAGAATTAACTTGCATATACACATATTAAATTACACTCTTCCATATAATATACTGAAAACCTCACACAAACACTAGTAAAAAGCTCTCACATAAACTAGTGAAAACATTTACCTCTTATATAATCTACTCAAAAGCTCTCATACAAAGTAGTGAGAACTGTTCATATAAACTGGTGAAAAGCTTTACCTTTCATACACACTACTAGAAAGCTTTCATATACACTATTAAAAAGCTCTCATATACACTACTAGAACGCTCTCATATACACTACTAGAACGCTCTCATATTAACTACTAGAACGCTCTCATATACACTACTAGAACGCTCTCATATACACTATTAGAAAGCTCTCATATACACTACAAGAAAGCTCTCATATACACTGCTAGAACGCTCTCATATACACTATTAGAACGCTCTCATATACACTATTAGAAAGCTCTCATATACACTATTAGAACGCTCTCATATACACTATTAGAAAGCTCTCATATACACTATTAGAACGCTCTCATATACACTATTAGAAAGCTCTCATATACACTATTAGAACGCTCTCATATACACTATTAGAAAGCTCTCATATACACTATTAGAACGCTCTCATATACACTATTAGAAAGCTCTCATATACACTATTAGAACGCTCTCATATACACTATTAGAACGCTCTCATATACACTACTAGAACGCTCTCATACACGCTACTAGAAAGCTCTCATACACACTACTAGAACGCTCTCATATACACAACTAGAACGCTCTCATACACACTACTAGAACGCTCTCATACACACTACTAGAACGCTCTCATATACACTACTAGAAAGCTTTCATACATACTACTGAAAAGCTATTAGCGGATTTCAGTTGAAACGGAAGGTGTTTCAGTGAAACAGGAAGGACCGTCATTACACCGGAAGTTGTTTTAAACGGAGGTCATTCTGGCTAGCTCCGTACATTTTGTGCTATCTCCGGCCGAAATTGTATCAAATAAAATTATTGATTCATGCTGAGCTATCCGCTAAACAACTCACAGAAGCATGGGCATTACTCGACTTTATTTTTTATGTTTTTGCTTCAACAGAGATCCTTTTCCGGTGTTGTACGAAATTCTGTTCCCATGTGAAAATCTGTTCCACCTGTGTCGGGAGCGCGCCGCGCATTGCAGCCACATAAGCGGAACTGATCATTTCCCAGGCCTTTCGGATCATTTCTTGGTTAAAAAAAAAGTCGTAAAATTATACAAGGTTGAGACATTTAGTTTAATCAGCCGCTGTTGTTTACAAAATTGTAAAATAAAAAAAATAAATGCGGTTTTCTTATGCTGTTTTGTGTTGTTATTTTAAACGCCAAGAGAATCAGTCTCTTTCCAAGTTTTTTCACTTCAGCCTGACAGAAATAAAAGTCAAGTCACCAAATACCAAATTTGTATTTATAATTT